AAATAATTTGTTAATTTTTATTTTTTTGATTAATGCAGACAAAGATTATATTCTTTTTTTATATAAACAGATAATGAATAATTTTTTTCGAGAAAATAATTTTTTTTTACAAAATTATTTGTATGTGTATATATTATTGTTTATTACCCATTTATATTATTTTTCAATTACAGCATATTTAATACGATTATAATCAATCTTTCTAACTTCACTACTTACTCTTGATAACGAGTTCACATGCGGATATAGATTCAGAGCTATTCCACGTGAATGGAAGGATTGGTCAAGATCCTCTCGTACAGAGATTTGTGGTATTTCTACTACATCGCATATACTTTGCACGTGCTCGGCAATTACTTTTTCTTGAGGTCCAAAAATACTCACTATTCCCAGATCTAACAGTTCGCATACTAAACATGAAACATTTTGAAAAATAAGTTATATAAAAATACATTCATGTAACATAATTCTAAGCTACATTATTTTGATCGCACTTTCGAAAAAATAATTTAATAATTATTTAATATCTAGTATTATCTATGTAGAGGAAAATTCTGTGCTATGTAAAAACATAGATTTTTTACAAAGAGTTATGTTTACGTTTTATTTAAACATATAAAATATAAATTAAAAGATTTTTATACAACGCAGAAACTTACAGCAACATTGCTGCAATGTTGAAATTTTACTACAATATTGCTGAAGCGTTGCAGTGTTGCTGCAATATTGTCCTGTATTTGTTTAATAAACGAAAATATGACCTATGTATATTTAATTCAAAATTATATTCAATTCATTCATTAGATATTTTAGTTCAAGAAGTTTAGCTCAAAACGACATATAAACAGTCAAATATTCAATATTAAATGTGTATATATTGAATAATATGATTTAATATCAAATGTACATCACTTTAATATTGAGTAGCAGCTTTACCTTTCGATGATACTTCGAATGGGTCCCCTTCAATCTGCTCTATTTTTGATTCGAAGAATACTTGATTTGAAAGTTCTTGGTCCTCATATCTGTTTTGGTTCACAGCTCTTACTGACGATTCGAACATCTGTTTCATTGCTTCATCTTGATCGAATAGCCCTACTGTAAATACATAGCCAGCTCTTTTTAAAATCGAGTTTTACTGACATGACTGAAATAGCTCACAAGCTCTTTCATAAAGTAGTACATATTAAAAGTATGGGTGTGCAAATCCGATTCAACACGGTTCTTTCAACATATTTCTTTTAATATTTAAAAATTAAACTAGCAAAAATATTAATCTCAACCATCATGCGCAAATTTAATAATAAGAATGTTTTAAAGATTTAAATATGTTGTTATATTTATATTATGAATATTATAAAGTAATACTTTATTTTTTAAAAATATTGATAATTTTTAATATTGTAGATATTGATATATTATAAGGATTATATTTGCTTCTAGATTTTAGATATTGTACTGTTTACAGACACTTTAAGACTCACAATAAAATATAAATACGTAAATAATTTTCATATTTTATTCATATTTTATTCGTTAATCACGTCAGTGAACATTTATCTTACCTATTGAAATCCTTTTTGGAAAACCTAGCACACATACGTAAGGCAGGAATATTGGCAATAATATCAGTAGAGGCTTGGCCATCATCTTATAGTCATTCTGCACACACACATTGAATAAATATTAAAATGCAGCCTATTGGTGAGCATCTTGACAGATGCAGATGTGTATCCAACAAAGTCAGATATAAATGGCACATATGTATAGCTAAATGGAAAGGTTTTGAACGAGCACTTAACTAGCCGACGTTATATAAACTAACCGGAAGGCACCGCGCCGCCTGAAAATCACTCTCGATACGCATAAATATTTAGATCCGTCTAAAATCAATCTTCTAATATTGAGTTTAGTTATTTGCTTGATGCTTATACTCTTAATAAATCCCTACTGAGATCTATCTCAGAAATTCCTACGTTACTTTTCCAAGTTTATTTTCTCTGTTGTGAAAGTAAGTTCTCTTTTTCTTTCTGCTTCTTTACATGTTGTTACAACGATTCTCAAATCATGTGCCAAAATAAATCAGTAATAATATATTTACACAAGCAACTTATTAGCCATTTACCTGTCCAACCTATTTACCATCCTAATTTCTATAATTTAATTCCCAATGCGTGCAAGAATTATTATATTCTTTTTTACTTATCTAAAAATCTTTGTATAAATTTCAACCTTAACTAGCCTTCTTAACTAAATTTTATTGACCTAAGTTGACGCATTTTATTTTAATTAACTTGTTGAATAAAATAATTAATCATATTAAAATTTTCTTCGCTGTCAAAAAATTGTTTCTAAAATAAAATACGTAATTACTTTAATGAAATAATAATAATCTCAATGAAATAAACGCATATCTTCATAATAAAATAAATACCTTTTTCTTTGAAAGTACATTTTTATATAATTTTATATATAATTATATTAGGTGTTGGAATTAATTCGTAGCGTTTTTTAATGAAAGAATGTTATTTATTTCACATGAGCATTAAAAAATACATTAATGAAAGTACTTCCCATCACTTGTAAAACGCTACGAATTAATTCCAACACCTAATATATAATTTTAGACAGTTTAATTAAATTTCTGTTTAAATATAAATCATTACAAAATAATTACATTGGCTGAAAAAATTATTAATTTGCTTTACGCTCTTAAAATTTAATCCTCCAAAGTTTTTCTCAAAATAATTCTCTTGTTCTTAATTATTTAATAATAATTAAATATTCGTTTAAACTTTTGATGATTGTCTTTAACAATTTGAACAAGTTTAGACACGTATTTGTAAATATTAACTTGATTTTATTCTGATCAATAATATCAATTTCGAAATGATTAATTTTTTAAAGCTACGTAAATATTTCTCATTCGCTGGAAACAACTAGCGTCTATCTTAAGAGTACAAATTTGTAGCGACGTCGCACGCATTCGAAGTTCTACGTAGCTTACTGTCATCATGCCAAGTGTACATAGTCTGGCACGTTTTTTTTTCATTCATTCATTTAAAGCTGCCGTTTTCATATTTATTTATCACGGTGATTTGGGTTATTTCGCAATGTATCGGCTCGTATTACGCGGAATAAATCATTAAATCTCGCGGATTTCTACAATTAAAGTTTTTGAATAGTCCAGCATACGATATCGGCACAACTTGGAAAACTAACGAAAATCTTAATAGAACGCATAACCATGTCGATATATTTAGACGCTGAACATCTCCGCCGCCACTGGTGCTTGTCGCGTTCACCGTGTGACATAGATTACAACAGGATACAATCGAAAATATTTTTTTAATAGGAAATCGTCTTGCACATAATTTTTCTACAAGTTTTAAAAATTAATTTGCTCTATTTTTTTCTGTTCTTTATTTTATACTTACTGTGATGTTTGGAAATCGAGGGTATTTTTCCAGAAAATATATTAAATGCGTAGTTCTACGTATCATCGAGTTTGAAAAGACGAACTTGCCCAATTTTCTAGACTTCTCTCCAAACTCGTTTTACTTTAGTCATTTGAAACTCAATTACTGGCTGAATATTTTAGGGGTGGAAGATTTTTTTCGCGGGGGATGGAGCGAATTATACGCGAATTCTAGAGAAGTACGTATCGGGATTTAATTGGTAGACGACGAAGAATTGTTACTTCGCGAGAGGATCATCTCTAAGGGCTTACAAGGGCTTACCTAAAAACGTGATGCTGCGACTCGTTCCACTTGGCACGAAACTTTTTGAAACGCTTTACCGAACGAAACTCGCGCGGCACGCGACTCTAAATCCGAACGGCACTTCTCGCGCGGCTCATCTTAGCAGCGCATGCTCTAAACTCCCTTCCCAGATTTCATCGTGGCGACGAAGAATGCTTGTCGTCTGCGTCGTCGTCGACGGATGGAGTGGGAATCTAATGCGCAATGGTACTTTTAGGGAAACGACAAGAATTGATCAGCGTCAGTACCATATTACATGCTAATTACGTAAAAATCTAGAGATTTTGAAGAATTTTTATATTTTAAGAAACATTTTTTTATATTGTTCTTGATATATTATAATAAAAAAAAAAATTTTTTTGTTGCGAATAAACTAGACCAAAACTAATTTCTACGATCAGTATTTATTTAATTTTATGCTGCAAAAGAATCGAAAAAAAAAAATTTATTTAAATTTGTTTAGATCTGCCTTTTATGTCTCTTTTATCTCTTAAATCTCTGTATCTTTATCACTATTAGAACTCTGTACAGATATCTATACAGAAAAGATTACACAGTAAAAAAATATTTTGTATTTGTTTGGCATTTTTATTTACGTTTCTTTTTAATTACATTAATTACTGACATTAAGGGTGGAATTAAATGAGCGCTTAATTTAACATAATTTAGATGTTAGAGAAATTAATTGCATGGATAATGCAAGATTGTAATCGCAATTAAAGGTGACTAGAGGCAATTATAATGTCAAATTGAAATTATATTATAATTATTTCATACTAATTACTATCTGAAAATAATAGAAAAGGCTATTGTTTTAGTGTCCTTAATTATTTAATTTTGTAATTTACATTTGGGTTGATACTCATTTTTGTTTCAAGACCATCTTAATAAGTAATGTTTTAAGATACTAATGTGTGGCCCTATGATTGATTTATCAATCACATTGGATATCTCTTATATATATAAATACATAAATATCATATATTATATAACTCACATATAAATTGACGAATTGTGTATACGTTAATATATGAAATAAATACATTGATTTTTATAGTAATATTAAGATTTTTATTTTTATTTAAGAGAGAAATTATTATTCTTTTGTAATTTAATTATATTAGAACAATTTCGAAATAACAGAAAAGAATGCAGTTACAAGCTAGGGATTGTCATGGTTAAATAATAACTGGTCAATTGGGAAAAAAGGTGTGATGAAGGCAATTATAATAGAGAACATTTGGATGAGAATTTACAGACGATTAATTTATTCACGTTTAATATGTGTTGATGCTTGTATTACATTTTATATAAGAAGTAGAATCGCGATAGGCTCTTAACAAACTCGTATGTCGTGACATATGAACGGAAGTATGTAACGAGAATGTAATAGTGTCGATGATATTTACAGTTGGTATATTATGTATGTGTACGTATGTGTATATGTATGTATCTGTACACTAACGTGTCTGTATGTACTCTATGATTTGCATTTCAGAATTCGGTAAATTGTATCGAGAGAAACAAAATCCTTATGAAAGGTGCAAGTACAGGAGAAAAAAAAAACAAAACTTTGCGCTTCTCTTCGCTTTTACGTTCGATCTTAAAATAGTATCCGCGTACTGAAATATCATACACTCTTCAATACGGCATCGAACATTCATACTCTGATTTATGTAGCATTCATTTTCGAGAGTTTAAATACTAGATTGGAATCGCGATGTTCGTTTCCATTACATTTTTCTCTTTTTAAGTTAGAGGGAAGACTCAAACGAATACTGCTTGGTTCACAAGGTCCGCATAAACGCGAATCAAACGGAAACGAACGAATGAATATCAGTTAAAATAACGACACGTATTTCTTAAAAATAATTTTGTTAGAAGAGTAGAGCAGTCTTATGCATCAGATAAATATTGACAATACATTACGCGAATACGATTTAAAATATATTATCTACATAGTCTGGATAATTAGCTTAAAAAATTAACTCTCTACAGAGTACTCAAATAATATTTCAATGACCTTATGGACCCCGTCAGACCAGCTAAGGATAGGAATAAATTCAGATAAAATATGTTCAAAAATTATAACTATTTATCGCGAATCACACATATGAAACATTGGATTGCGATATAAAATAGTGCAAATTACGATATCAGGGGCCTAATTTTTGAAATGTATGCTTACGAAAAATTAGGGAAATCTATAACATATGTAAAATATGTTATGATATTTTTCGTACAATTATTTTTCGTATGCGATATTTTTCAAGAATTCAATCCTTGGTCTCGCAGATTATGGAATCCGTGAAAATCCTTTCGCGTTATTTATATATCACGTGGAGACTTTTGAAATCGCTATTGTACGCGCGTATTACGTTCCACCTTATCCGAATTTTATATATACGGATGACAATATTCGGATTGATTTCAATAGAATGCTTTACGTAATAACAAATAGTGCATCTTTAACGTCGATGAAAGATCATTCAATTTCACATGACTCTCATTCATTCGCTCGTTTTCTTGCACGCATCTTCCTCGCACAATTCAACAGATCTTACGAGGAACTAGATAATGGACTATCTTATTCAACCGTGGTTCGTAAAAAAAGGACAGACGTGTGTACACGATTAGAATTAAGCCTCTGTTTCCTTTTACATATCGTTTCTGAATTTCATCGCAAATTCTCGTCGCAACAAATTTATAGGATTTTTCTGACGTTAAAAGCTTTCGACGATGCGTTCTCTTTTTTTGTTTCCTATCAAGAGATGTAATATCAAATTTGTTGACTTGATACTCGACAAAATTCAATCTCGTTATAATTGTTTGAGAATAATTCGTATTTTTTTGTTACATTTGAAAGTGATTTCAGTCAGAATTAATTATTTTTGTAGCGATTTCTTTTTCTGGACCGTCGATGTTTTGAATTGATCGATCATGTATGTTTTAATTCGCACATGAGCAAGGAAACAATTAACTTCGCAAAGAAATTCATCACTCGGCCAGGCATCCCTTTGTTCACGTCAGAGGTGCTTTTCCAACGAAGTGCCTGTACTTGTTGCACGCCGCGTACTTGCCCTTCTCCGAAACGATCGACAGACTTGAATGTTGCCCCTGACATCGACAAAGCGCCTTTCTCGACGACTTTTTATTTCCGTTGCCGCAGTCCAAAGCGTATCGCAATTCGCTTGCCATTTCCGAGGACACGGACTTCTGAAAGTTCCACGAAAAGACGATTGCAAAAAGCTCACATATTGAATCGTAAACGAGTCGTTCAGTTCAAACTCAAAATATTGAAACTCAACAAAATTTTATTAGTTTTTACTTTCTTTAATTTTTATTCAATAAATTTGAGCTGAAAAACTAATATCATTTAAGAATCTATAATAAATGGTTTAGATGACAGAAGATACAATTGAGATAAAAGATTTAGGTTATTAATGATCTGGATTATTGTTTTAGGAAAGTTTAATAAAAAAATCTTGACGAAATTTTTGTAAATAAATTATTATCTTGTACGTTTCAGAAATCTCAACATTTTCGATATTAAAAATTTTTAATGTAATTTTTATAGCTTCAAGAAAGAATCTAATACAATATTAACACTGAAAAACTCGATAACTTTTATATATTTAAAAGATACTCGTAAATGTGCTCACCTTCTGTAAATCCGTGACGGGAGAGAAGCAAGAAACATTGCGACACAACTAACAATGTCATACTAAACTGTCACACAATACGCGTCCTTTCAATTTCATTTACGGCTATAAATAATGCAACATTTCGAAATCGTAATTTCCGTACAAGTTACTTCGCCATGACACAGAGATTTGTCTATTCAATAACGAAATTTTGGAAGTCCGCGTGCTTCTTACATGGATCGGAAATTTACATTAAATTGCGACGAAAGCTCCATGTGGATAAAGATGACTATTTTCTAACATAATATTATACTCGTTCTGTGCATTGGTTAATTTCTTTATTAAAATTTATATTAACGTTTTAAATATCACAACATATAAGAGAAAAAAATAAGAATTAATAATTATATATCCTTCAATAACTCTTATTTATAAAAATAAAAAAATCTTGGTGGATCAAGTTCCAAGAATAATCTTAAAAAATTTCAAGAAAATTTTATATATATTCTTATTTTATATACCTACATATAATTAATAATAATAATATTTCATATGGTTACATAAAATATTGTTATTATTAAAACAATATTATTTTAAATTAATCGAGAGAACAGTTAATTAATATATTTTTAAATGTTATTATAATATTATGGAAAGTAATAAATTGTTGAATACTCCAATTTTGATAAGAACGCGATAAGTTTCCGATATATCCACTTGCTCTTTCGGATTATTACTTATGACAACATTATCATCTCGAGAAGCGTACGGACTTCCACCGCACACTTACGATCGCATATTGATTACTTCGACAATTACATATTATTTACAGTAAAATGTCTCATAATCTGGTATACTATACATTCACTATCTAGCCGGTATAAAATCGTGATTGTTCTTAAAAGTTCGTCCACAGCACTACTAAGTTGTGAACACCGCGGTTTTTGTCTTGATTTTAAAGTATTTTGATGTCGATTGAAACGTTTGCGACTTCGCGAGGAAGGACACAGCCTTTCCTATTGCGAGGTTTAAAGTCTTCGTGTATTAATCTAAGTTTTGATATGAGCAAATGGCAATTACATTGACCTTTCCAATCTTTCATTATGTCATTTTTTTATTCTGATTATTTACGTATATTGCAACAATCATACATTTTTTATTGAAAAATTTGTACTGCCATTAATTGAATTTCAATAGTCTGATCGCCATGTAAATAGAATAGAAACAAGCATTTGATATCAAAACAAGAAAAAAAGAAAGAAAAAAAATTTTCGAAAAATGAAATAAAAAATTATTTATAAATTTTTATTTTAAGCGATAATTTTTAAGATTGGAATTTAAATTTAGTCGTCACAAATTAGATTTAAACAGCCAACTCACTAATTGTGAGTCTATGCATTATGTGTGCGATAGTATTAGTGACTGTATGATAGGTGATCAACTAAACATAATTTGTGGTAGCTAGCTTTAAAGTATGTATATCTCGAACACTATAACTTGAAATAAAAGTTTATATAACTATTTTATTTAATTTTTCGAAAACTTTTTTGTTTTAGTTGCGAATTTGGGATATTCTATACAATTTTAGAGACAAATTGATTAATCTAACTTTTAAAATGTTGAAGAAATTATACTCTAGTGAATGCTTTAATTTAAAGAGAAATATTTTTGTACTTCCCAAACCATTTCATTAAATTAAATTGTTAGTATTTGACAAAATTTTACGAGGAAAATTGGAAAGATCAAGGCTTGTTGCTTCTTTTGTCCGATTATCTTCGTTTATTCCTATAATTTTATGATCTTTATACAGTTTTCCGATCTCTCGTGATGGAGTTCTTCCTTAGGTCCACTGAACTCGGATCGGATACGTTTTGAGGTACGGCTTGAGTTTAAGAATCTGTTTTTTTCGCAGCGCAGCGCGTACCGTCGCTAGTGCAGATCAGTAAAACCTTCGCAGATCGGTTTCCCCGAGGATTTCTGCTTCTAGAACAGAACACCAAAATGCCCGAGTCAGATTCGTTATATTCAGTCATTGTTACAATAATCAAAGCGGGAAAAAATGTGCGCTAATTATCGGTGCTTACTTGAAAGCAAAATTTTTATTCTATTCATGCTTTCTCATTGTTTTTTTTAATAATATAAGTATATTGAATTCTATCGTATCGTTTGTTATTGTAATTTTTTATATGAGCATCGTGATTAATCATTCTTTCACGATGGAAAATAAAAATCGATTTCATGTATAATGAAAACAAAATAATAATTAATATATTTATTGTAATTATTTGTTCATGACTTTTTTTATCTTTTCAATATATTGTCTGTATATATTATTATATTGTATTCAGTATTGTGATAGCAACCGTGATGACGACGGATATGAAACGATCTTACGTATCATAAAAAGCCTTACATATCATAAAAATTCGAGTATGCCATCCGAAAGCCGTACTATTCATCGCAAGATATGAATCTCGTTCGAGTCGATCGATATAATCGATTTCAACCGATTTGAATTTTTGTAGAAGGCTTTGCCCTCATCCTGCCTCTCTATAGTAGTGTAACACGGTTTGAAAGGAGACAGAGTAATACCAACGTCCGTAAGCTCATAGAACTGTTTACTTTAGCGTACGCAGGGAATGATCCGCGCAAAGCATATTCGTATTCCTCGACGAGTCCTCCTCAAATAGTTGCCTGTTTGCTTCTCCCTTTGAATATATGTAAACGTTGGCACGAATATATGTTGCTTAAACCGCGTGCCGGCCATCGTGAGTGCGCAGCACTGAGACTTTGCATACGTTAATTCCATTTTCTCGCTCTCGACCAACGCAAGCGAATTTCACTGAAAATTTTTTCATCAAGTTTACTACGTTTCTATGGCCGCGTCTCTCTTCATTTGTGTGTCCTAATAGATCTCTCAAAATTAAAACAACCGACATAACTTTTTAACATCAAAAATAATAGGAAAACAAAATATATTTAAAAATATAAGTTTGAGATTGAATCATTTAAAATTCAAAATTTATGGAAATTAATTTTTTAAAAGAAGTGCGACAATTATTTAAAGATTAAATTCTTTCAAACATTAGTTAATTAGTAATTAATTTTAATTAATTACTAGAAATAAATTTGTAGTAATTTTTCTTGCTATGTTTTTTTCAAAAGCTTGAATTGTTTGGATTTTGTACAAGTCACAAATACCCTGGGCATTTTTTTAGCATAAAACAGTAGAGACTCGAAGCGACATGTCCTCAGTAACGAGTGAGGACGGACGAACGTCTTGCCTATCCGACTAACGACGATATTCGCGTATACAGCGAGACAATGAGGATAATGACGAATGGAAATAACGATGCATGGCAGTAACGATAATGGTAGAAAAATGAAGGAAATTATGTACGTGTGAAGGCTATAATTTTCGTCATCCTCGCCAACGACACCGTGGATCGTCGAGGGTCTCGAGCCGTGCGAGCGATCAGACCCGAGTGGTTCTGTATCGAGACCATTAGAGAGGAACTCCACCATCGTGCGAACATCAACTGATGTACTCGCGCGGTATGTCGGGATAGATCGCGTCAGGATCAAGTATAGCGGCGGATCCTGAGGCGGTGATTTCCGGCGTGGTTATCGCACGATCTTCCTCTATGTGCTATTTCGCGTCACTCACCCGCTCCTCGATGGCTACTTTCCGGCTCTTCCACACAAATTCGCAAACTGCGATCACGCAGGCAACACCCATGCCGCCCATCAGCACTACGAAGACTCCGCCGACGTTCGCCAGACCGAGCTCGTTCGCCGCCGAGCTGCTCTTCGAGGTGTCGTCCTAACCATGAGAGAAACATCGATTAGCCTGTGGCGCATTAACGCGGACGGTTACAGGTAGAATATAGTCTGCTGCATGGGTAATGCGCCGCTGGGGAAACGGTGGTTTTCGCATTTAGTCTGTTGTGCACGTCGTTAATGCACACGCGGCTTTCGCGCTTGGGTGTTCATTATTGAAGCGGTTCGCAGAGGATTGCGCGTCGTGGATAATATTGCGAAAATTTGATCGTGCTTACTCGCACTTGGGCTGATGGATTAAAGTGTTAAGAGGAGAGTAAATAGCATATTCAAAATTGTTAGCGGTTAAGAAAAATCGAGAAAATCAGAAAAAATTAGAGAATTAATATATAGTCAGGAAAACCGGGAAAAATCATGGAATTTTTTTCTGTTTTGTTAACAGTCCTCTTAAAAAGTCAAGGAATTTTTTTTCTTTTGTTTCGTTAATAACCCTGATATTAATTATTAAATCTTTTAATCGGTACGTCGCAGTTTTGAAGTGTTCAATCTTTTGATCAATATTTTACACGGAAAAAATTTATATTGATGTGTTAGAAATATAAATTATACTTTCTTTAGTATTAATACTCTTTTTTTTTAGATCAATATTAATGATTGTAGTTTTTAAAAACACAGCTTAAATGTCATTAGATCTTCAGCGTTTTGCAACAGTTGCGATTAAAGATTAACATCGAAGAATTAATTCTTCGTTATAATCATCCATCTAACGTTCGTCCATCAAACCGCGGTAAGTTTACTCGAGTGAGGAGAAGCTGGTGAATTATCGGAAGAATTTATCGGCGTAGCTGCGCGAGAAATAGCAGTGCGCGCAACGATAATCGCGAGCTTGGTGAAACCCCGATTTCGTGAATTCGCGAAATAGTCTTCCTCGCGTGCCGCCTCAACCTCCAGCAACTCCTCTCTTCTCTGACGGATGAGGAGAGTTGCTGGAGTCTGGCACAAGAATTTCGAGCGCGCACTTCTTGAGTGTGCTAGCGTGCCAGAATATCCTTCATGAGAAAAGTGAGGGAAATGATGATGGATTAAAAGCAAATTCACACACGGTTTTCTTTTACAACCAATATTAAAATGGATATAATGGATAAAGAAATTATATAATAAAAAAGCCATTAATTAAAATAGACAGGAATTCAATGTAAAAGTATGAAGATCAATAAACCTTTGTTCATTGATTACTATAAAAAATAAAAGATAGTTATTGTAATTAAAATTGTTTTTGTGTTTTTAATAGGTATCCTGTATCTATTTCAATCATTTGCGAGAATATTGTTAAAGTAAGATTATCAATTTCTTTTTCCATATTTATTTCGTATACAAAGAGAGAGTATCTGCTCCATTTTCTGTCAAATCTTTTTCTCCAGATTTCCTTTAAATTAACTTTTTTCTGTAACATCCTGAGCTAAAGTTTTTTGTACAATAGTTAATATCGTTTTTATATAAGTTTTCTAAAATTTTATCATAAGACTCGCACATTCTAAGATTACAAGTAAACCGTGTAAATTCGCCTTAAGATACGTATTTACTCACTCTGCAAGATCCGCCGCCTCGCTTCTCCTTCCACCAGCGCGTTTTCAGCATATGAAGTTTCCCTTCCTCCTGCAGCTTCAGGATAGCCTCGCTTATGGCTGTTCTATATGGCGAGTCTGAAGTTCCAAGGTCGTTTTGAGCAACTCCTTCTAGGCTGCTTTTATCGCCTCATAGCATCGTACTTTCGCGCAACTTTCGGAAGTACCTTTGTGGCAATCGTTCCCTCGCGCCAACGTTTTGCCGGTAATATCGCGCGCGATCGCTTCCTTCATGGCGACACTTGCTATCGACCGGTATTTTCGCGCAGCCGCGAGATCAGCAAGGAGACCGGTAATGCGATTTTATTCGATCTCTCGGGATAAGCGTGGCAGATAAACCAACTAGCTCGTGCGAATCTCTCGATGCAAGGAGGGAACGATTTGCATTTTCTTTCTATCAGAATTTCATTTGCGTGAAGAAGAAGTTTTAATTGAATGAGAATTTCTTTTATTCAAGAGAGTTGATAGGCCGATATAAGCACTTTATACTGTAATATATTGATTGGAGAAGGACTTTTTCTTCCGAATGTTCTAGGTTCGCTACTTCCATTAATAGGAATTATTGAGATATTGTAACGTTGGAAATTGATAAATAAAATTATCTTTTCTTTTTGCCAATTTGCTTATTGAAGTTGTGTTATAATTTTAAACTTTCATAATAATATCCAAGTGAGAAAAAGAGAATATTACATAAACTAAAATCACAGAATGAGTTAACTGGAATAGAATAATAATATTTACTAAAACATAGAAAAAACTGATATTTAATATATATTGTATCAGATAATATTAATATTTAATACGAAATATAGTAATATTAATATAATATATCGTTTACATTAGATTCAACGTAACTAACATAATGATACGTCCCTTAATAATTGTGAATTTTAATGCTCCTATTGATTGTATGCTGATTAATACTTCGACCACATATTGCACATTCATCGATTATTTTAAAATCTTGATTCATCACGTGTTTATATTGCGGAGTAATGTGTTTGAATTGCTGAGATGCGGCAAAAAAGTTAATTAGCATTACTGTAGCATTTGCATTGAATAACATAGCTTTGAAATCTATAACTATTGAGAAACATATATATTATAACATATTTGGTTTTCGACCAACACAAATCAATGATATATTAAATTACTTTGTGATGAATTGAAGCGTTAAATGTATACTATATAATTAGAATATTCAAATAATAAAAATAAAATATTTAATAAGTTTTTACGAGAAAATATTTAATGAAAAAAAACATTTTGTTTTTCTACTTTGTAATATTTTTAATAAGATAGATACAAATTACATAGACTAATTTATTAAAGATACAAAAATTATTTCAAGAAATTCATATTGATGTTTCCCATTCATTTATCTTTTCCTTCACGTTTTAATCATCGAACTTCTTTTTATGTTTATACGATTTTCATTTAACAGCGCGTTTGTATGGATCGCATGAATTTTTATTGCGATTCCTTCTGTAGCATGTAGTACATATGTATAAAAGCGTTTCTATTAACACTTACTTGGCGGCATGGCTATGCCATATCCCTTGGAGTCCAAGAGACCGCCAACTTGAGTAAGGTCGCACTTCCTTTCGATTACGTATTCGATGGAGGTGGATTCCATCAGGAATGCGTAGCTGCCTTTTCCTGAGATCACTCGATCCACACCCTCACCGTTGCTCCCCGTAAATACCGATGGCTTCGCCGAGTCCATGAAGGACCACATGCGTTGGTACGTCGAGAAATTGGAATCCTAGATCATGCCGAGAATTTCGTGGTTGAGAACGCGTGCCGTTAAACGATGGAACGTCGGAGTGGAAATCGGTTAACCTCGAAGTAGGCATGCCTTACTTCGAGGAAGGATATCGCGTCTCGCTTACATCCCTAATTGCACGCATCGGCGCTCTCGAATTAATAGGAGAATATTCTCGGGTCGCATCCTGCGGTTCCGCTTTTGCTCCGATTGGAGATTCTTAGACCGTCAGAAGTGGATTTAACTCAATTACTTGCAGGACTTGAGATAACAATATAGTACCCTATTTGACCTTTCCGTTTAGTGTTTCAGCATTTGTATACAGAAAAATAACCATGGTTGAATTAACAAGATATAACTACAGCTTATATTTCATTTTTAATTATAATTTATAGTAATTTTATTTTTATAGTAGTAATCATAGTCAATTTTGATTGCCAACTATATATATGTGCGTGACGTGTACGTGTGCGTGTGTGCGTTAATAGAACTATATACATAATTATTACTAATATTATAGCTACGTAATTATAATGATAATGATAATAATATGTAATTATAATCATAAACATCAAAAATTTTGCTGTCACAGTATAATAATAATATCCGAGTATTTGGTTATTATACTACAAGAGAAAAATGTATGAATTACATGTAACATACATTAATGACATGTATGGTTAAAAAAGTATTTTATATGTATATAGAAAAAGAGAGAGAGAGAGAGAGAGAAAACTAAATAGAATCTCTCGTTATCATAATTAAATAATCTGACATTTCAACCAAAAGTTTTGTTAACCAACCAGAATTTATGCAACCAAATGTATTTATTGTAACAAAAATATACAACCTTTATTTTAACGAAAATTATGAATCGTATAAATATCTCACCAAATTATTATTATTATTACTACTACTACTACTATTATTATTATTATTATTATTATTATTATTATATAGGTATTTCAGATTAATTCAACCACTTTTTTTTTTAAGTGTAGCTTTATTATCTTATTGAATAAATTATTAAAAAAACTGAAGTTCTTTCGTATTTTCGGAATAAATATTACAATCCTCAAAAATACATAAAACGCTTCAATGTCATTCTTGGGTACGCAATGAATAATGTATACAAAAGTATTAATCTTACCTTGAAGAAAGCCGCTGTGCTGCCGCCTTTGAGAGCACCATATTTGATTTTCGTCTGCTTAGCGAGATCTTCGGCGCTTTCAATCGGGGAATCCATCCTCTCGACGGTGAGGAAAGCCGCGAGATTAGCCGTATAAGAGGAGATCATGATCAGCGTGAAGAACCACCACATACCAGCGACCATGCGAGTCGACACGGCCCTACGATAAGAGATCAAAGGCTGCATTCTGTTTTCCATCGCAAGGTGTTTTAAACGGAAAAGCATGCGAATTTGAGGGCAAAGTAGTTCGATAAACCATCTCGTATAGATTCGTGCTCGATAAAGTAGAGCGTGTCAAAAATACGAATCGTAGAAAAAGAAATCAGTGACACCTGCCATTCGAGGAAGTTTTCGAAGGTAACTTTGCGCTTTTTACGCGAAGGTAATGGAGCGTACGGAAGTTCAACTTCGCTTTATGTAACGAGCCAGCTGTATACGTTGCAGGTATAACCCGTTTCGCAGTTAAATGATTCGCGTTCGCTATTAAACGGCAAATGCAGAAGCTGGCGAGCGGGAATGGACATATATAGGAAACGTGTGCGGGCGAATTATTTTATATGCGAAAACTGGCGAGTATACATAAACGCAATTATGTCATGTATAACGAGCACGTGGAATTATTGGAAACTACTTGTGTAAGGGCATTCCAAGCTTTCAGCCATGCCATGCAATATTATGCATTTCGATAACTATGTACGAGCAAAGCGTTGTGATTAATTTTGCCGCACTTGTATACAGCACACCGGAAATCGCGTTACAAAGATATAATTCTTGGACAATTTTTAAAACCATATTTTTGATAGAACGCGTTTTATTCGCTTTCTAACCTTCGAACCTTTTAATTTTGAATATTAAACTGTTAAAGTTAATTAAACCGTATAAAGTTAATTTTCTATTAAGAGAGAGTCTGCTTCGAATTAACTAGAAAGTAAAGTTTTGTTACATACTGCTGCAGCTTCATTTGCTGTAATCCTTTAATTAAGATTCCTAAGTAAGCTATCGATTAAATTTTCATTGTTCTTCAAGGAAAGAGTCGACATCAAAAGTCGTTAAAGAATATATTCCTGTCAAGTAATTCTCACGTTTTCCGGTATACTTGGTGTACAATCAGTTGCAGCAAGCCTACGATATAGCACGGCAGGTTTATTGGTTCTTCCACCATTTGCATAATCTACGATAACGCGCTGTACATTCGCTTTCCTCACACGATTAAACTTAGTTTTACGCTGGTAACAGCGGCATAATGAATTCTGTATTGTCGTATTCCATGTTTATATACACTGCGTGCTTCTTCAGTAACTTACTTCGGCGCTATATCGGAGCCTTGCTGCATGAGAGAGCCTATGGTGAACCAGAGCGAGTTCATTAGGGTGAACTCGTTCTCGAGGACTTCGGACTGCCCGTTGCATGGATGGGGGTTCTCCCACTCGTAGGGGCTGAACCTGCGGACAGGTGAAAGGGGAAGGATCGAGATTAGATGATAAAGCGTGCACCTATCCGCGAATGTGTCGTCACTCTCTGAAATTGGTGAGATAAATTTGTGAAATTATATGCTTCGTACAATTAGTGAATCAGAGATCTTTTGTTGATATAATGATCGTTTTTATGATGAAAGCAATCTCCGCGATACAAAAATATATAATAAGAAACATGTAAATATATATCTAATTATTCGCATTATTTAGCCAAAATAATAAAAATACTATGAAAAAATTTATTTTAATATAAATCTCATTTTCTTGGCGTAAAAAGAATTTATTTTATTATGACAAATCATTGTTTTATTTCTTCAGTTTCAGTTTAATCATATAAAACTTAATTAGTTATTTTCTAAATTGATTTTACAAGATTGATTTTACAAGATACTTCATTAGTGTTATTTTTGTATCTTATTTTGTGCGCGTTTAAGAATAATGTAATATAGCTTACTGTAAGTGTAACATATTCTACCTTATTTCTGTACTTCTTGATGAAAATTGCTTAATCTGGAGACTATTGCTGCCTGTTTTTTACTGATCGATAGCTGTTATAATTTATGCACGAAGAAGATAAAGACAATAAATATTTAATTTTATTAAAGGATAATCAGTGTGACATGCAACAAAAAGCGATGAGCACCTATTTGCGCATGAAGATCGTTATCTCGATGCGTGAAAGGGCTTACTTTGGCAGAATATCACAACCCTGCCGCATTAGGGAGCCAATGGTGAACCACAAGCAGTTAAAGAACTTGAAGCGGTTCTCTAGACGGTCCGGATTTTTGTTGCACGGATGTGGGTTGTACCATTCATACGGCGTGAATCTAAACTTAACGATTCCAAATACGTTCTGATCCAATGGCATTGAACGTTTTTGTATAAAAAGTCTACCTTAAGAATTTTTGCATTTATCTTATAACACATTCATCTTAACACATGTTATTTGAACAAATTTTTATCAATCTTGTAAATGATTTGCACAAGATAGCTAATACAATATGTAAAACAACTGCGAGAATTATATTAGAAACAAAAAACGAAAAATTAAATTTCTAATTAGATATCCTCATCGTGAAAAATTAAGAAAAATTAAGAAAAATTAAGAAATAAATATTGATATAAATTAAAATTTTGATCATTATTTAAATTTATGAGATAAAGACGTACAAAAATTATTGATAAGATAGGTTTATGTTTCCCTCGTATTTAATTTATCGATGCATCATGTTAAAGGAGACGCGATCGCATTGATTAGATAAGGGATCAAATTTCCAGAATAGTGTCACAACGTTTTGTCGGAGGAATTTAAAGTGGTTTCACTTGCCTGGCTAATATAAAGAGGAGCACGGAGACCCCGAGATAAGCCGTTGCCATGTAGATCCAAACGTCGAGGCTAAGAGGACTGAGGAACGAGAACAAATTCGGCGGTTGCTTTATGGGTTTGCGGTAAAGTATGCTGATCCCTGGAAATTCAAAATTCTCATTTTATGCTTAGCCACGGTGAGGACCACAGGTAGAATGCATTGATGTGTGGACACAGTGGACCGCGTATAATCACCCGTGAGATTTATTCTGGTTTTCGTTACGACCACCTATGGCTTACGAAGGTACATAATAGCTCATAAAATTGCGTCCGAGAAATTATTTCGGAGATATGCAGGACAAAGATTGCTCGCTATGTGTGATATTTTAAATTTTATTCCGCTATTTTAATTTGAGATAATAAATTTTGCTTCTATGATGCTATAACGTACCATTATTTTTGCAGAAATACAATTTAAAATTTTTGACTGTTATGTACAGAATTGTAATTAAATAATATTTTTTCGTAAAAAAAGTAGTTATATCTCTTTAATATCAATAACGTGTTTGCCTGAAATGTGTTTATCTTTTTCCACATCTTATTGCCCAAGCCTATGGAAGCGACAACATCGTTAGAAAATGTTATAACATCTTAAACTATTCATGTAAAATGGCATATTTTTTTTTACAACTTCTTTTCATGTAACATGTTTATGTAAATCGTAAAATCGCAGCAATATTTGCTGCATTCGTAATGTTGACTCTCACCTAAAGGCATGAACGGCGTCGTGAAATCCACAACCTGTTCCCGATCGTACGTGATGGTGAGATCACCGATCGCGAGATCGGCCTTTTGCTCGAGCAGCTCCTTCATCATCCCGTCCCATTCCTTCGTCTGCACGTTGTACGAGCCGTAACGTCCATCCGGCACAAGCCGGAACGTATAATTGAATCCAAGCAGCCGCGATATCTCGTAAATCAAGTCGACGCTGTAGCCTTCGAATTGCGCGTTTCCGGTAAGTTTCTCGCTCGAGTCCTTCCGCATACAGTATGGCGCGCTCTGCGATGAAGTAATGAGCTGCTGTCAATACTGTGCTGCATATAGGCGTTTAAAGAAACGCTACGAGTTTATCGATACGAGCAATCAACTTATTGACGATAGCTCTCAACGAGGCTGCCAGTGAAGTTATAATATCTGCAGTAATAATCTTACAATTAGCGACATAATCTTACAATACATTCGTACCAATATCGAGATTAGCTTAGAAGATTTAATACAAATTGATTATTAAGTACGTATTGATTATTAAAAGAAATGGAAAAATATTAAGGTTTATAAATAATGTTACAATTAGTAATCAAATAAGTCTGATTTTTCTAAATTCGCAATTTAAGTACAAATGTAAATACTTAATGATGGATATGAAAAAATTGATATCGTTTCTAACAATAGAAACACATCAATTAATATACGTTTCATATCTTTATAAACGTTGTTATTTATTGTTGTTTTAACATTTAATATAAATCTCACGGAGCATTCTGTAATGTATACCTAAGACATGTTGTATGTTCTTATTAGATAAGTTCGTTTAGTTGCGGATCTCCGTGTACTGATCGAAGAAACGTTAGGACATCGAAGTTTTTATGAGAATGATTCTCACGCGATGTATCCCGCTTCTTACCATGCCAGGCCTCACTGCGGGAAACTTACTGCCATCCCTTTCTCGAGGGAGTTTCAAGATACTTAATACATTACCATTACATTATTTGTCGTCACGATTAGAGTGAGAATAAGTAATGTGATCGATAGTCGCGAAAATTTCAATCAACAAAGTTACGTACGTATTAGATTTCCAGTGTTTCTTTCTTGTCTTCTTTTTTTCTTGCTAGGGAAAAATGAGAGCGAGAAGACAACGAGCTTCGCTAATGGATGGACAAAATTTTTCCACTTCGCTGTGACTGCCGCTTAAATGCGGTGACGTTTCTGTTTTGTTCGCGCTTCGATTGAAGCAACGATTTCCGAGTCAGGCGCGCGATTGTCACGAACAATTTTTGCAGACATGTCTTCAAACGAAATAAATGGTTTTTTTTTATTCTAAACGACATTTTTCGCACATGCTTTCAAAATTTATACCTCAAGCTAACAAGGAAAGGCACACGGAAGTATCTCCCTTCGATTTTGATGAGTTTTAAATATGTCATTTTTTAGACTAAAAATAAAAGTATTTTTTTATACGTACCTACTTTTAAGAGATAAAACACCCAGAACAAATCAGTTATTCTATTTTGACGCGAATATCGTCAAAACTATGAGAGATAGAAAAAATGTTCAAAATAAAAGTTGAATTGTTTCAAGAGTACTTAAAAATAATAAATTAAAAAAATTTGTTTAAAAATTTTTTATTTGTAAAAAATAAACTTTAAAAAATTGCTTTTGAATTATAATTATTAAGTACTTTTAAAATCATTAAACTTTTATTTCGAACATTTTTTTCTTTCTCTCATAGTTCGACAATACTCGCTTCGAAATAGAATAACCGATTTTTTTCTAAGAATTATTTTATCCCTTAAAACAGGCATATAAAAATAAGAAAACAACATATTTAAAGGGGACAAATCGGTGCGATTCTTTGTAAGTAATTTTTGTCTTCTAAAGTTTTATCTTATTACATAATTATTTCTAATTATTTCTAATTATTTACAATTTCTATAAATTTTTATCTTATTAATACAGTTTTAGGTATTAATAAGATAAAAGAAATTTAATAGATTTAATGTAGAAATAGTACAGTGCTTTAATAAATAAATTAATTTATAATTTATATGGTATTTCTTCTAAAATAAAAGAAAGAAAGCTATTTATATAATAAAATTTATTTAAAAAATAGGAAAGAGCAATATGTTATATATTATCTTCATCCAAATTTAAAATAGTACTTATCCAATTATTTATAAGATTCAAAGAAATAGAACTTAAGCATTCGTATTCGAAGTTTTATTCAATATATTATTCTGATGTTTGAAAGAAAGGAAAGCCGCGCGTATTCTTTAGAAACGTCACTCACCAGTATAGTCGTCACGATGAAAGTCTTATTCTGCAAGTTTTCAACGATTTGACTGTAAACATCACCGTAGCTTCTCGTAAAGTTGATACCTTTGGTACTATTCCAAGTACCGATTTTCTTCAAGCCTTCTTTGTTATTCAGCTCGATGATGTCTAGAACGAAGTCGGAGCGAAATCCCTGATGATCGAACTTGATAATACCCGTGAGCCCTGTCATCTCCACCTAAAATATATGTTGAAAATATTTAACAGTTGAAATTGAAACATTTGAAACATTTTGTTACAAATATAATATTTTCTTACTTATTTTATTAGATCATAAACGATATTTGTGTATTCATTGAAAATTGTAAATGTTATACTTAAAATTGAGGAGATGGGCGAAATAAAGGTTTGATTACAAAATATTGATATTAATAAAAATTATATAACTTGCTACTTTTTTTATTATACATAAATGGATACAATATTAAATGAATTTATGTAATGTCTTTAAGAAGTTACACGTTATAAATATTCTCTATTACGATCAAATACATGAAAAAGCTAATTGCCGGAAAAAGGGCCTAAGTAGAATTGAGCCTTTATTCCGCCCATCCCTTCAATTATATATACAGACGTAAATCATGATATTAAAATATATTGTTATTTTTTACTATATCTTATATGTATATTGAAATACTGAAGTATCTGACGGTTTATACGCGAATAAATCAACGTATAATCTGTAAGAGTTTTGTACGCTTGTATATGTCTGATATGCGTAGATCAGTGACTCTCAAAAATTGTGTTTACAAACTTTACTAAATGTAAATTTCTGATTTCAATCTTAGATATTTTGTTGGAAGCAAATTTATTAATAGCTTAATTTTATTTTAAAGTTTAATAATTCAATTTGATTTAAAATTTAATGAATATACGTATCTAATTGCCAATATGTTGCGTGATTGTGATCGAAAAACGTTTGAGAACCAAGATGGACATACATACAAACTTGGGTACGAGTAGATTCATGGTACATTTATTACACTTACAAAAATAAAGTATACGTCTACACATTTACGTCTACGCTCGTAAATACGAGATGGGCGTCTGGCAGCAACATATACCGGATGTATATATTTCGCAATTACATGGAAATATTAAAGATTAATATGCGATTATATCTTATATAGAAACGAAAATTCTGTTCGTAAAGCGATTCGCGAATAATTATATATCTCATGATAACCGAATTTTATCACGTTTTTTTCTGTGCACGAGTTACATTGTACATTCCTAAAACTATGGAATTGCAGACAAAATTCTAGGTGACTGCTTGTAATTACTGTTACATGAATATCATAAAATTAAATTCTGTTCTGACACGCGAGATTAATATAGATGCTATTATTACTGACGACTTATGATGTGATCCTTGGAAAGATCATTTTAATTGATTGTTATTGCGTTACTCGATTAATACCGTATCAATATCACATAAATGTCTTATCATATTATCATATGTCTGTCATGAAAACTATCAGTGACAAAGTAACGTAAGATGATGACTGTATTAATTGTCATGAAATCTAGTAAAAACCAGCAAATGAATTCTGATACGATCATAATATTTAGAACGTTTTGATAGCACATTTAATACTACATTTTTTCTATGCATTGTAATTTTATAATATAATTAGCCAACTGAGAAATTTTTCATTACCGAGAAATTGTTTTCGTACAATACAAGAATTACACTGGTCGACAAAAATTTAACCTATTTAGTTTTAAAGTAAATGAAGTCGTTTTTGATAGTTTTGGTGCGCCGATTACTTATATTTATGTAAGTAATGAAAAGAATCTTAGACATTGTTTTTCATATTTTCACAGGCTTGGTAGAATCGTAATAAACTTTTTAATATATAATCTTTAAATAAATCTTTTTTTCTTAAATTTAAGTTTTTTGAGATATTTAGGAATCCTTGTACTTTCTCTTCAACAAGTATACTTCATTTTTTGAACTTTTAGGTTAAAATATAATATCTCCAAAACTTAACATAGTACGACATTTTTGGGACTATATTCGCAATTTGCATCAAAATCTATCAGAAACAGCTTCGTTTACTTTAAGGCTAAAATGGTGTCGATAAGTGTTATTATATTTGTTAATATTTCGTTGCAATATATTCTCTATAATTTTTTCTTTATCGTCGTACTACGAAATAATTATCGTTGAAAATTTATAGCTTTAAATATCAAAATAGACATACTACAAATTATATCTAAAAGCCTTTTAGATGATAACAAAATTAAATAATCGATTTTTTTCATAAATTTTTTTTTCACGACTGATCGAAGATATTTTCAACTTTTATAAAAATTATTGATATAACGTTTAATCCGGCACGAACGCGTGTATCGCGTAATTGGATAGTTGCGTAACCAGTTCGTCGAAATTACATGTCTGGTTTTATCGACATCAGTTTTTGCTTATCCTGGTCAGGACGTTCGGCCGCGTGAGCGACAGATTTCGTTCGTTCGTGACATATACGTAGTCACGGGTGCACATGAGAGCCGCCTCGGTATAGAACATATCTTCCAGTACTTGTCAATTTCGACATGGCGACGTGTATGACGAAGCACGTTTCCATATCCTGCGTGCAACGCATATTTATATTCACGGTAACTCGTATCTACCGTGTGTTACTGTCAGAGAATGGAAAGTTACTTTTTAAAAATAACTTGTTACTCTCTGTTATAGTTATTGATTCTTACAAATAAGTTATCGTTACCGATATACTTAAAAAGTAACAATTCCTTACTTTTTTAATGCTGAAATAAGATCAGTCTAAAAAATTTGGCAATATTTTTTGTTTAAATATTAATAAAAACAATAAATGATGACATTAGACCGATATGTGGAAATATAACGGATGCGGTGCAGATGGTCGAACAAAAATTGATTAAAAATGACATCTAAGTTATATGATAAAAACGGTATGGAAATATTGAAGAATATATAAAAAGTTGTCATATACAAACATGTAAAAAGTACCGATAAAAATAATTATAAAATTCGTTACCGTTATCAAAAAAATACCACGTTGCCGTCATAATTACCAAAGAAAAAATTACTCCGTTATCTGACCATTATCACGAAAAATAACTTGTAACGCGGTAGCGTTACTTCCATTTCCTATTGTCTAATATACGTTCGATTTCATTGTTAAGCAGTTGCAACTCGCCATGACAATATTTGCTGCGAATAAATAGATAATACCGAGGTAAGGTGTAATTTAATATGAACAATTTTTCAGTATATCACATATATAGATTCTCTTATATACATTATTTTATCTATTAAGAAAATATTTGGTAAATTAAATTTCTTTAAAATACAGTTAAGAAATACATTTTTGTGCGAACGAAGGGAGAAGTTTATTATAATATTTATGTAGAATTACATAAAAAAATAGGATATATAGGGAGTCTATATAACATTACGATACATCTGTTTATATATTCGAAGTGGATCTCATTTAGCATAGAAAACAGAATCTTTATTATCTTTGCTTTCGTCTTTTTAAGTAAATTTTTCATAAAATAAATTTTCATAAAAAAATTAGGAAATCAGCCTCATTTGATTAAAATATTGATTAAAATAACTTCGTTGTATTTAGCTTGAATGTTATGCACAATCTATGTACGGATTGCATAGGCGGTCCTTTGCAGGATGTACCATGGCAAAACAGCAAACAATTTGTCAGTATGCTTGACAGCTTCGTTTAAACTGGAGTAACTTTCCATTGTTTCATGAAAACAATCGCAGAGATCGCGGGAAGTCAATGCATCCGTGACTTCCTTCACCACGCGTATCACGTATTTATCAAATTTTTTTCTTTATTTGTAAAAAAATAATGCAAAGATACACTTTTGCGTATCATTTTAAAAATTAAAGAACTAGAAAACGCTGGTATCCGCACATGCTGTATTTGCATGTATCCGCATTAAATAAAATTAGTTTTAGCTTTCGCTAATTTCTAGCATGTACATAGATAATTTAATATCATAGTCATATCTGACGATATTTATTTGCAATATCAAAAGTATGATTAATTTTCGTGCTACATGAATATGGATTTTAAAAATAAAGAAATTAATCCATTTTTTGTGTGTATTATACCATTTTTAATATATATACAAGATTAAAATAAATATAAAAAAGTCATAAGAATGTTAGAAGAGAATGATGGTATTATTGTATATGTGATTTGCCTGTGATGATTGAGATATTCTGAAAAGCAAAAGAGAGAAAAATAAAAAAAACTATTTATGTCTTATGCATTACGGGATAACGAGTAAGAGCCTATCATGTATTATGCGTAATGTACATGGCGAGACTCGTGCTGCTTGTTAATGAACGGTACGTAGATTACGTGAAAGGTAAGCGAGCGAGTTGGTTGGATTAAGCATATCGTTATAATGGCTTATTACGTTGTCGGTGCGATCGATTGGTGGTGCGCGAGATTAATTTCTCCCCGGCGTGATATATTTGCGATAACCTGCTTTCTGCCTTGCATCGTTGCTTCGTTGAATACGAGCGTGTAGTAATCATGTGGAAAGATGGCTGTCAATATATAAGCATCGCCTTTACTATCGCGAGCGTTTATCGCACATATTTTACAAGATGAAATATTTTACTAGGACTTGAAAGGATCTCGCAGATCCGATTTATCGTTGTCCTTAATCTAAATTTATTTGATTGCTTCATTAATTCCAGTTAAAGTCAATTATAAACGTGACAATTGTATATGATCTATATATTCTAATATCTAGTAATACCTACTAGTATTTAGTAGTATCTAGTGTGGAATATTTAGTGTTGTAGTGCTAAATGTAAAGCTAATTGATACTCCATTTAATATGGAGATTATGCATTAAATGCAAAAAATATAAAAATTATTTAACAAAAAGTTGTCATATCATTGCATAAAATCGCTGTCAAAATACAAATTTATATCGATGAATTGTTATTATTCAAAATTAAGAGAATCGTGTGCAGACACTGAAACTATGAGAGAAATGATACATAAAGAGAAAAATAAAAAATTTATCAGTTTAATGTATAGTCTATTCATATATATAGAATTGTTATAAATGTGATAATTGTATGATCCATATATTCTAATATTTAGTAGTATTTACTAGTATCTAGTAATATCTAATTTATTTATATTTATTATAATAGCTATATTTATATATGTATTAGATTAACTTGAGAGAAAGTTGAAAACTTTCAACACACAAAACTTTAACATAAAGGGCATACATATGTTCTACATTTGAAAATACACAATATATTAGCTGTTTCAATTAACGTTACTTACAATTTTCATGTAATTGATAAGAGAGTATCCGTGAGGCCAAGTATCCGTTGATTCGCAGGATAATGGTTTGATATCGATTTGTTGGGACGTGTCGAGATCGTGTAATGCTTTGGCAAAGAGATGGACAGCGTCATACAACAACGACGTTTCAGTCTGCGAATCACACACACGATGAGATGTTATATAAGAGATGTAGCGTGTACAAAATATTTCACACAAAAATGATTGGAAGGTTTTATGCACAAAGAGACTTGCTAAGAAAAAAAGCATTTTTCCATTTAGAAAAAGCTATCTCAACGTTGTGTAATATAATCCGAACCTTTTTTTTTGTAATAAATTTTCTCGTTATTAGTACTCGTGATACATGCGACTACGTCATGTTTTTGCGTACAGCACATATTTCCTGTTTTAACAAAAATTTTGGCATTATTTTTCGTTTTACAAAAAGTGAGAGAAAACATTTTGTTCACACATTTCCCAAACTTTTAAAGTTAGTTATAGCAAAATTCATATATGTAAGTTTAACTTTTTCGAATAAAACACTGTAAACTAAAGTTTAATTCTGTATGTTCTTTATTACAATGCAAATTTAGCACATTAATTAATGTATATTTATTCATTAAACAAAGTATATAATGATTGTATGCTTATCGTATAAGACTTTTAATACATACAAATATATAAACACAATTGCATACGATATTATAGGTGCTAGATTTCGAAGGAAAATCTTGACTCTACAGACTATTTTAAGTGAAATTCGCAATTCTACCATACACTCACGATATTGAAATTATCAAAGAGAGAAATAAGGTTAAATCTCGAATTCACTATTTCATGAAAGGGCTCGTATTTGGAGGTAGAGGTCAGACGGGAAATTCCTGTTTTCGCTCCAATGTGCGAAGGGTGAAAGAACGAAATCTCGGCTCCTAGGAGGATTTCACGGCAAATTGGCGCCTCTGTTTCCCCAACATTTATATTTCGTAACTCGTGCGCGCGGTATCCCCGCGATACTGTCGTTGTAAAAGCGATATCACCTCAGATATCGCACCTTGGGTGTATATTCCTCCCGATATATTCGGGACAACCAATATCCTTACCGGATTTTACGAGGCCTTTCCCCAGGACCGTATTTACGAAGGAACTAGTCAATGTATCCGATTCACGTGTTTCCCAATACGAAGGGATCGTAGAGTAATATCCTTACGAACCAAAGTTTCGGACAAACAGAAGTCTCTCAAGGAAACGATGCTTTCCTCAATTTTATTCATTATTCATATATCGCGAAAGATAAAAAATGTAACACATCGAGTGGTTTACGTAAAAATTTCATGTTGAAAGATATCGACGTGTGAATATTTAGTTCCAGATATCGATAGAAGTATCGCAATTTTCTTTTGCGTCACTTGGAAAAGTGTCATGAAATTATTCGGAAAGGTTTCTAATCGAAATAATCCCATTTTTTGTCAGTTGTCTTATCATGGAAATTTGGATAGCGATCTGGAAACGATTTCAATGGTTTTTCAACATTTCGTGAGCAAGCGAGAAATCGATTCTGATAGGGGCGCGACTATGATCGGAATCGTAAATAGTTTTGAGATAGCTTCTCAGGCTTCTTTTATAAAAAAAAAAAAAAAAACATGCGGTTAAATTTTATATCATTGTATCTGATTTTAATACTACTTTTATTCTATTCGATAGAATGCAGGAGAATACCTCAGAATTCTTTATAAATAATTTTCTATTTTTATGATATTCTTTTTATCAAGCGTAATTTTTTTTATACTTAATTTCATATAATAAGAATAAGATTTATATAAAATTAATTAAAGAATTATTTTTTCTGTGTCTTTTTTCTATTTTTGAAAAACTTCTAAATTTCAAAAATTATAACTCGTTATTTATATTTTATAGTGCAATACATTAAGAAACAAACAATGATGTAATTTTATATGGAATCATAAAGTCCAGTATTTATACAGGTGAAATCAATTGATGTTCCTGATTAAATGTCCTCGCTTTTCGCAGATAATTTACTCGTAATGAAATGTGAGATGTTAGATCGCGCTCCATTGGCTCTATGAGTAATGAATTACAAGCGTAAAAACGATTCGATCGTTTTTATGTCGCTGTGAAATGTTTGAAGGCGCAGTTATTCATTTAAACGTATTTTCCGCCATAAAACTTATGAGAATTTAAAAATATATATGACTGCACTATATTAAAATAGATTATATTAAAATCTCAATTCTGCAACAGATATTTTATTTGTCTATTAACAAACGTATTTTTAACTTACCTTTATAGTAGTTAAATTATTCTGCTCCATGCGTGCAAAAAAGAAAAAAGTACAATTAATTATATATTTTCTAAAATCGAAATAAGAATAATGTATTTTTTGTTTTTGTAAAAACAAAAGAAATAGTATAATATAATACACATTGAAAAAAAAATCTCATTTCATTAATTGAAATTTTGATCAAAAAGGAATAAATCAAACACTTAACAGTTAAATCTATTAAATATTCTAATTGAAATAAGAAAATTTAATTTAATATAATCAAAATTCATTTTGTTTGTACTTTTTCTTGATACAACCAAAAACATTTTTCTCGGTGAACTTTAAATTCGATAACTGAAAATAATTGATGATTGTGTGAAATATGTGGAATAGAGGAAGGATAGAAAGAGAGGGGATGAGAGAGAGAGAGAGAGAGAAAGAGAGAGAGAGAGAGAGTTCTTTAATCATCTATAGAAAGTCGCAAGCGCGGATGTACTTGCTAATTAGTAAGAAACAAAATTGTGCCATGTAATCACCGCGTTGAACTTCTTATACAAGTCTACTGACAAGTGGCGTCGCAAAATAATCTGCAATTTATGCACAACCCGGAATAACGAGCTTATGTTCGCTTGCCGATTCTACCCGGCTATATTTCGTCTGTAATCAAATCAATATATTGTCCGTTTGTTTGCTGCGTGTACGCGATTGAGTTAATTAGCCTGGCTTTGACACGCTCGTAATGGGATTGCCTACATCCCTCCGAGGGACAGACATATCCCCGTTACGGAATTCGCCCAAACGTGATTGTTTGTTATGTGACGACGCCTTTGCGTAATATCGTCATTAAATCTCGAATGGCAGCGTCAACTATATGTTGTGACCATGTTAACTCTCATAATTGTTTCAATGATGTCTTGGCTCTGTTTAATGTTTTGTTCATATTTTGCATATATGCGCAATGTGACATTGAACCTAATTATTAATTATTAAATACCTAATTGTGGAATTAAGAGACGATTAAGAATTTCTGTTCTTCTGAAGGATATTGTTTATTGAGAAAATTTGTTAATTATAAATTGACCTTTTATTTCATTTTCTTGACATTCATATATTTTTTAAATATATAGCTGTGCGTATGTTTATAATAGAACATTTTGAAATTATTGAGGAAAGGAATAATTCTTTACTATAAATCTCTTATGAATATGACGTCTATTTGAAGACATGGTTTTCTATAAATTGCACGATCTTATAATCAGAAGGATTCATTCCATAAAGATGAATTCTAATGATAAACGTCCTCTTGCTCAATAGCAAAGAACTAAATCAATCCATTTTTATCTCTCACAGCTCATGTTTTTTTAAATTTATTGAATATATGATATATTTCTAGTCTACAAAGTGAAATTAAACTAGAAATATATAATAAATATATTACTATTAACGGATTAAGGCTTTATATATTTAGTGTTTTTTTTTTATTAATAAATGTCGAATATAAAGAACTATAATTTCACACTGACAGGTATCTAAATTTTGATTCAAGAAGTTTGCTTGCTTTTCTTCTTTATTATTCCACGACTTTTATATTTCTAATTTTAACGGCGCAAAGTCTGATGGCCGGCGTCTCGTAAAGCTGCGACACTGTACCTGATGAAACTGGCAAATTGAGAAAGTTTTTATTACTAGCGTTTCTGCGTGCCATGAATCGATAGCGCAGTCTTTGGTACTATTCGTTTTGCGACTTCCAATTGACGATTTTACAAGTTTTATTTTATAAGACTATATAAGAAAGTCAACCGAGTGTTTCTTTGTGCCGGCATTTCCTTCTTCTCTTCTCTTCGAAGCGAATATAGAAGATGCGCTATCTGTCGTCACGATGATATATCTTCCGTGAACTATTGGTATCTCTGTATGTTACAGGCAAGCCACCGAATTCTGTCCGCCCATACCATGTGATAGAAAACAAAGTACGCGAAAGTATGTTTCCGATAAAAAAGATAAAAAGTTGTATGTAATTATTTTTTTGTCGTCAATAAATCAACAAAAGAACAAGTTTCATAAAAAAATTTCTTTCGCAAAAAAAAAACGAGTAATTGCATTTTTTCTTAAATGCATTTTTTTTTTAGTTTAATTTATACATTAGTATGCCATTAGTATTATTACTAGAAGTCTTGGATTAACTATTCAGATTATTCTTCAGTATTCTTGAAACATAATTTTTTTCTATATTAATGAATCACTTGAGTTTCTCAAAATTATGAAACCATAAAGGATTGAGCAATGTAAAGATCAAAGATACAAGAGAGAGAAAGAAAAAATTGTTTTGAATATGATGAAAAATAAGAAAATAATATCTTTTTTCTTATTCTTGCTATTATCAAAGCTTTTATATTATCAAAGCATAACTATATTAACGACTTAATACAAAAAAAAAATTTGAAAGAAAATCAATAGCATATCTTTTATATATTAATATATATACCACATGCATGATGAGCGGAATTATTTTATTATATATTTTCTCTATATTATGAACAGGTCACGGATCAAACGCGTATTTTTCTAAAAGAAAATTTATATTAAAATTACAGAGAAAAGAAGGTAGAAGACGACCAACGATTACAGAGTTTTTTTTAGAATACTGAAACTTATTTACTGCGCTATTAAATTCATAACGTCAAATTTAACTAAGAAAATGTATTAAATTTGATTTAAATTTATTATTATTTATTAAGTGTACACGTTAATATAAATGTTATTTATTTTGAAATGAATTATAGAAATGGATTGATTTACATTTTGACACATGGAAGTTAAAAATAACAAAATTATTTTTAATTCAAGGAATTCGATTATCACTGTTCCTTTGACAGCGTACAACAATTATAATTAATTATTGTATTTTACAATTTTATTACATTTACATTATGCTTCGTAAAATTTTACAATTTTATTACATTTACATTATGCTTCGTCTTTTTTTTAATGCCAAATCATTTTAACCAATTATTTAATTTTAATAAAAATTCATCGAAATAAACATTATTCAAATTTTGCAAGTTGCATTATAAATGATGATTTCATAAAATTCATTAGATTGTGATTAACTCATTAGGATTTTATTATCTCTGTTGTGTTGTATTTTTTTTTAGAAATTTCTAAAATTATAATTGCAAAGATTAAATATATCTTATTATAATTACATTTCTATAAAAAATTTGATTTTTCGGTTTCAAGAATGCGGTTATCTTACATAAAGAAAATAATATGGATTTAATATATTAAACATTAACATAATCAAAAATTAATAATCTGCTTGGTATACATTAACTACAATATATAATTTTATGTAATAATATCTTAAAATCGTATGTAATGTGAAAAAATAAATTGCATGGAAATAGGCTAAAGAATTACATCCCTATTTTTATCACGTTATGGCAACAGAGTAAATATTAGTGCGCTTGAATCACATCTCGACTTTCACGCGGAAAAGGGAGGTGACACGAGAAAATATCTTTCACGGAATAATGTCGCGACACACGCTGCTGCAACGAACGATGCAGCAGATCCGTCACATACTTGTACAAGGTGTTGCAGCTACGTATACCGCAGAACATCGACAAAAAGTTGTTGGGAAGTTTACGCGAACGTGCAACCGTGTCCGGGCAAATTGGCCTTTTTAAGGGCCCAGTGCGCTGGACCCAGCAGATGTTGCTTCCGTCGAAATAGTCGAACGTACGGATTCGCACTTCTCAACTTTTCTGCAGTTGATGCCGTGCCAGATGCGACGATATAATTCGCTTTTCGCGAATTGGCATTTCGTTATTTGCTTCTTTTATGGGGTGTGGCAGTAACGCACTATATACAATTCAGTTATCATTCACTCTTAAGGGGGGATTTTAGAAAGAGGAGATTCTTTAAGTTAAATTTTATGATTTAAAAAAGCTATTGAATGTAAAAGTGTAAGGTTTTTAATACATATTTATTAATGTTTAAATTACATGTATGAATATTTTTGGAAGTTTCTAACGTTCATATTTAAAAAATTATAAACTATTAAGAGTGTGTGCACATCTTTAAAATTATAAACCGTTACGTATATCCCGTTTTAAAATAATGGTAGATATAATTTTTATTTATCCGAAACAAACTGACAAAATTTTTAATAAGTAACGAAATGATTTTATTAGTTCGATCTGAGTTCGATCATAATAGGTAAATAGTATTTCGGTGTGACTATACATTTATATACATTTTTACAGATTAAAATGTTTAATCTACATAAGTAAATATTTCTATTGCCTGCATTAGAATAAAAAAGTTATATTAAGTACTAGCAAAATGACGGCGCTAAGCAAAGTTCTAATTTTTTAAAAAGTTTTGCTTCTGTTTTAGTAAAAAAAATATAAATTGTTAAAATATGAGGCCTGTTCTTTATCGAAAAATTCTTTAAATTGGTGCACATGGTGCAATAAGTTGAGGTGAAACAAATGTAATTTTTTCACTTCAATACACTGTACCATATGCACTAGTTCAGAGAATTCATTGATAAAGAACAGACCTATACTGACTTGATTCTAGCACGGACGATAGCGACATTACAATGTACAAGACTAACTAAGAATTTTATTTCGAATGAATAAAAAATCTTTCAATCATGTTTATTATATGTTAATTTTATAAGATCCGTATATAATGATTTATAACTTTAAAAATATTAAACTCAGAGAATTTAATATTTTTTATTTTTTATTTTCTAATATTAAACTCATAGAGATTTTTTAGAAATTCATACACTTAAAAATAAATATGTACTCAAAACCTTCAATTTCTATATTTCATAGCTTTCCTTTAGCGAAATCATGAAATTTAACCTTGTTTTTTGAAAAACCCTCCTTAAAATCTTTAAATTTTGATTTTATTTCATTCAATTTGTGAAACCAGATTACACTCGTGATATTATAAAAAAAATATAATTTGATACAATCCATATCTGTTAACTATTATTTATTAGCAAAAAAATATTATTTATTAAGCAAAAATATACGCTTTCCAAGCTTAAAATATAAGATGTAAGAATATAAGATGTAAGAGCATAAATTTAATAAAAGAAATAATTATAATTAGCAATGTTTTTCTTAATAATTTGCTTATTCGTCTATAAAATAATATTATGCCAGAAAAAATTATGTTTCACAGTTATATTATATATTTATAAATTTTTTCTTTGTTTACACACAAACGTGAAAAACGCTATGTAAAATGATTACTTTAATAAATATATATTAGTATATTAAGGCGTGGCAGATTGTAGATATATAAAACAATGGTGAGAATAAGGGTGCTGACTCAAGTAATCTTGACAGATGAACGAAAAGAAGCAAAGACTGCTATTTCATGAGAGACATCGTGATTAATCATTCCCTAATAGTTATATGTGATTAATTGAGAAACATTGAGCAATCAACAAATTAGGCAAAAAACAAACAATCAATCTTTGAATCGATTTATCTTTAAATCTATCATTATGTGTCATAAATACTAAATGCATATTATATAAGAAATAAGTTTTATACAAACATCATTTAGTAAATTTAGATGATTAACATTGCAATAAGAGAGACAATAATAATGAATGATTATAAATCTTTTAACATAAGCATTAAGAAAAAATAAATATTTATAAACTGTCTTCCTAATATTGTTTACATTGTCCATAAATTTAACATGTCCTATGTGGACTCCGACGAATTATTATATTTCACACGGATTCTGACATGTAACTTCTCGTCTACAATCATGTTTTTACTCCCTCCGTCCAGTCTAAATTCTTTTTTACTGTTCTAAACTTTTAAAATCTTCCTCTTTTTATTTCGAAGAAATTTGAGAGTAAAACTTGTGTCAAAAAAGATTATAGATGGAGGGTTAATATTCAATCTTATACTATAACGCCATACGGGATGTCGGCATATCGATTTAATCGATACATAATAAAATATCGACTTAATGGAAATACTTGCAAACTTGCGTGTACTTTCATGTACACCGTCTATATACGTATATACCGATTAATTTGCCGCCGTTTCATTACGCTGCTGTATATAGAATGTGTTCAGTACAGAAGTAAGTAAACTGCACACGTAATTTCCTGCACTACGAGTCACGCGACGTTCTCGCCTTCGTATGGATTGTATTTGAAATCGGCTTATGAAAGTAAAGAAAGTAGTACGCGAATCACATACTCGCAATGAAACGAAACTAACATGGAAATCATGTTTGTGCGACTATGTTCTATCTGACCTGACTTCTTCAAATTCGAGACGTGCATAAAAACGGAGATGCGCTTACCTTCACGGTTTGCGGGAACTGAGAGAGCGGTGATATGATATAAAATTGAAAAGCAACCTACTTCTTGTTACTATATATATGTATATATATGTATTAACATTATGTTACGGATGTGAATTTGCGTAATATAATATTATGAGTACGGATGTAGTGTGTAATAATATAACGTTCTAGCTTGGCGGTTCTTGTTAATATGTATAATAACATGGGAACGCACTGTGTACTTACTTCTTGTTTGTTTAGTAACATTATCATTTTACAAACTTTAAATTCATATTTATTTTAAATAATCAGTTTTAAAAAGTGCTTGTCTTTATTATTTACATATATATAATTCTATATATATATATAATATACAGAATCAGTATTTAAACTGAAATTGTTAAACTGAAAATTTGATATTGATGTTATTTTTTTAGGTTATAATAATAAGTACTTAAATCTTTTATGCAAAATATGTTAAAAACATACATATATGATCCTTGAAACAAAAAATAATGTAATAGTGAACACGTGTGTACATATTTTATAAATTATAGATATAAAATAATATTAAATAAATATTTTTATCCTTATTGAAAAACAAATCTCAGTTTGAAAGTAACAAAAGCTCCAAGTATCTTGGAGCTTTTGTTACTTTCAAACTAAGATTTGTTTTTAGATAGAAAACTTTCGAAAGTTTTTAAAAATTTTACTGTTTTCAGGTTTGAATATCTTTTCTTCAAAGCACGAGGTATATGCAGATATATAGTGAATAATTAACTACATTTATACAGCACCCTTAATTGGCTAATCATAGTTATTCTGGAATGATTGTGTTTAATTAGTTTCTTAATTACGTATGTTATTAAATCCGATTAAGGATGCCATGTAAATGTAGTTTAATTATATTCATATAAATATAGTTAATTATATTCATATAAATGCCTGTATTCTTAATAGTTACATAATTTTATATAACTATAGCAAATGTGGTAGAGATACATTTTCTGTAAATTTCTTGATTAGTAATTAATTTATTGATAGCGAAAATTTGACTGAATTTAATTTGTAGCATTTTGTAAATGTGCAATATATATATAATATTTCGGTAAAATCTAATTTAAAATCTAATCCGTTTAAAATTAAATGTGATTATCAATTGGGAAACTTCATACTGTCTTGCTAATACTATGCTATTTTTCATTATTAATAATCAGAACACTGTGGTTAGTTTGATATTTATACATAATGTGATTCTTAAGTTCAAAAATTATGTTAAATAAAGAAAATGTCAGAAAGGTATTTTAAATACTTTGTATTTAAAATAGGATTCTTTACAATCAATACATTCTTCTTTCAAATCAATTACATTCTGCTTTCATTTTCTAGAATATTGAATCTTGAACCTTTCAATAAATCTGTAATCTCAGTTTTATTTAAATCACAATATTTTTTTAGCCACGCTATTTCAAAAATTTATACCGTAGTGACCGATCAATTACAAAAGAGAATGCAAAGATTAAAAACGAGAACAGAACGGTGTATTGATTGTAAAGGATCCTAATTTGGATAAAAAAATATTCAAAATATTTTTTATATGCTATTTTTTAAAATAATTTTTATTTTATAATTTATATACCGCATTGTGTACATTGTCCTGGTTTTTAATTCATTCTTTGAAGAAATAATACAAATACAAATTTAAAGATAAATCAATATTGTTCAATATTTGTTTAATCGCAAAGATTTCGAATTTCTCTTCACATATAATATTAATGGCTAGCGAGTTTGCCGAATGGAGAACGGAATCAAGAATTATGGAACCAATCATTCGATTTTTTTGTCATATTTGCATTCTTATGAGAATCGGCATGTGTCACGGGGAATTCAATTTCCCCAAGGTAGTAGTCAAGCTTCAAATAGGGTAATACTCAATTATTACATTCGCTCCGTTATTCTCGGTCATGTCAAAGAGCGTGAACCGGCTCTCACTAAGTCTCGCGAGCGAAAGAACCAAGAAGAAGTAGATCGATGCGGCTGTCAAGCGGGCTTGCACGAAGAATGCGAAATTAGAGTGTTATTACGTGAGACGCGCGGCCGCTTTAAGGACGGGAACATATTTCGTCGTGAAACGATCTTTGCATTTGCATACATAACATCCTACGCTTACACTTTGCGAAGCCGTATATCTTGCACCGTGTATTATTTATATTTATACTTGAGACGAACTTGGAGAGCGAAATATCGGCATCGGTAAAATAAACCACTTCAATATTATACTATAATACAGCAGCGGCAATCCATTTCCGGTTACTATCGTTACTTCTATGAGTTATATCTTACCTTGTTACTGTTCTGTCCCATGTCGAGTTCACGATTATAGCGTTTCTCACCGTAGATCCAATCCTGAATTACTTTTTGAATTTCCGGCTTCTCTGGATCCACTAATCGAAAGGCAGTGATATTGGTCCCGCCATGCTTGAATTCTTCTAAGTCGACGGTATGCAAGTCCTGAAAAGAATTCCGATTGATCGTGACATGAATTCCTATTAGTCACACGTTTCTGTACTAGATTATAAAATTTCATATCAGCTACATTCTAGATACTGTGGAATATAGTCTTTTTTCGTCACTTGATAGATTTTTTTAAGTGAGTATTCATACAATTTTTAGTAATTACTTTAGATATAATTAAGTAAAGAACCGTAAATTAAGTAAAGAAACGTCAACTCTATATCTTATGAACTTCCAGAATTAAAATAACAACCCTGGCTGAGATAATATTTTTCTCAATAAGTTCTTTTCAGTGATTTAAAATGCTTATTTTAGCATCATTACTAAATTATTAAATTGATCTATTTCATTTATGACTATTTCCAACTTTAATTTAGAACTGCGTTTTCAAGATTGGCTATGTTCGGCGCGCAGTTTAAAGTGTTGGAAAATGTATTTAAATATTCATAAAAAATATTATTATATTAAAATCTAGCCCTGACCGCATTTAGCGTATCTTTACTCAATTTGATTTATTTATACAAGCAATCTTAACTTATTATTATTTACCTTATGTTTAGTTTTTAGAAATCGCTTGATATTATTCGATCCTACAAATATTATCTTATTTTACATCTAAATAAATATTAATACTAGAAAAATCCCTATTACGATCAAAGTTGGATCTTCATTGCTTTAGAACTCTTTTAGAACTGCGCGCTGAATTGTTTTTCCGGACTATAAGACTATAATATGATATATATGCAAGTACATATATAGTATATATTAGTAATTCAAGATTGAATTATTTAAAGCAATGAAGATTCAGCTTTGACCGTAATAAGCATTTTTCTAGTATTGATTGTGTTTCTCACATATGCGATCTAAAATAAAAGATTCTTAATATTGTAAATAAATATTATTTTATAGAAAATACAAATATGACAATAATAATTTAACAATTTTATGAATTCAAATAAAATTTCTCTCTTCCTCAAAATCGAGTATGTAAATAGTAAACTCAAGACATTTTCTGAAAGAAGCTACGATGTCTAAATCGAACTGGAAGATGGAAATTCTGTTTTATGGTTTACTGTGAATTAATCACGTAAGATAAATCCCAATCGGATTCACATGGTAAAGTCGGATGTGACGTTAGATTTTCTGGAGAATCTCCTCTCACGACAAAACATTTCACGACTTAACTTCGCAATCAGATTATATAAGGTCCCTTGGATCACTCTGACAGATGTAGTATGTAGTAAGACTGGACGATTTTTGTTTGCACTAGAGATTGATATTTTATTAATTGTTTAGTTTGCCAGTTTTTATGGTTTTTTTATCACATTGCGAAAATCTCACGTCCGACTTGTTAGAAGAAAAAAAGCATCCATGTTCTTCATTCTCTGTCAACCCTTGCTCTCCGCGACTATTTCCAGCAATCAAAGAATTAAAAGGTCGACGTTTTATATTGGATGAGGAAGTCATAAAAGCAGCGCAAGCGATTTGCGAACGCTTTTCAGTTAATGGATTTTGTATTGACAAGCGTAAAAGGAGTGAGATGAGACAATAAATGATTCCTCCAATGCAGAAAGCATATTTTGAAAAAGATTATACGAAATATATATTTTTTGAAAGATTAAAGAGTGAATTGTTTAAACTTAATTCTCTGTTTTCTATTATTTTAATACGTCTTTATAATTTTACTTTATTAAAATTTCACGATCCGAAGTATATCCGCTTTTGTTTATGTGATAAGTTGAAACATTGTATCGAAAAATTGTATTTATATTATTAAAATAAATACATGTAATAGCACATATAGTATAAATGTATTAGTAAAAATATTTAATTCTAGATTTTTATTCGAAGTTTAGTTAGCAAAATATGAACGTTTAACATTTAACTAAATTATGATTAATAATATCTTTATTAATTTTTTTTACTAAAAAACAGAATTGTTTTTTAAATTATTAAATACGCGGTAAAAAAAAATAAAAAGAGACTATGCTTCTTTTAAACAACACGTATAATTTTCGATATATGATTTACAAATTAAACCTATTAATTTGTATGTAAGTAAAAGAAAGTAGAAATAAATTGCATGTGTTCTTTTTTGACTAGATAATTATATTAAAAATATATTTTAAAAAAATTACATTAAAGTATTAAAACAAAATTTTCAGTAAGAGCAATTTTAAAACAGTAATTGTTTCAACGAACTGTAACCAATTGATCATTTATCGTTTGCATTTCTCTTTTTTTTGGAATTATTCTGAAATATAATATAAAATATGAAATGCATCGCCATTTATACTTGCCACGATTTGCACCTGAACAGGAAGGACGTTTGAATTTGTATTCTTCGCGATAGTATATTCAGAAGCTATTGACAGGAGTGGAGATAACTCAAGCATGGAGCATTTGCTTCAAAGCCGGTATCTGTATCGGTGACGCTTGTGGGCCGACGTGATTTAAAGTCACGTGCAGCTCGAAGGCGTATTCCGCCCATCTTTTCAAATACTCGCGGAGGATCGCGTCGCGGCCATTTATTATCCTTTGTCCCGCATCCGGAGCATGATGAATAAGTCCATGTCCCCCGATCTGCTGTCTTCGCCAAGTAGATGGACACAGTTGACGACATCGTATGTTCTCGATGTCTCACGAATCGATTGACCGCCGCTCAATGATCGATCATCGTCTCGCCTCGAGCTACATCCGGTTTGCACTCTTTCAAGATACGTCGCAACACAACGGCGATATATCGTTTGCCACATAGAATAACGTGCAATAACGATAGTCGATGGGAATGCATCCTCGGTTTATGAACTTCCCTTGCCCTTAATTCCGTTCTATCCTTTATTACCCCTTTGGTGATCATTGCACAACACGGTGATCGTTGCGAAATCTCTAGGGAGACAGCATGAAGATGAAGGCCATGAAGAGAATCATTTGGAAGCGCAAGTTCGAAGATTACGAAAATTATTATATTCAAAATTTGCATTTATGTTTAGTGAAGTGAAATGACAATATATTATGTAGAAGTGAAAAAAGTATAGATAATAAGTAGTAAAATAAAATCTTGTAAATAATAAATAGTGTGTATGAATAAAGTCCTTGTTAAAAAAATTGTGCTGCCGAATTTGTTAAAAGATTTTGAATATTATTTAAATATACATTAATTACATTGATATATATTACTTGCAAAGCAATAACAGATAAACAAGAAAATGATATATGAATATATGTCATTATAATTATAATACAGTTATTCAATAAATAAATATATATATATAAATATCTATATAATTAATACCTTTGAGTAAATAGATAACGTAAAAAATTGATAATCTTAATCTTCAGTACACACAACTCTGGCAGTCCATATCTACCCACATCCGAGTATTTATAATCCAGCGTTTTCTTTTGCTTGTATCTTAAATTGTGGTCCATTGATTTTAACAAATTTTTTTTAATCTATCGTTTGAAGACTGAAAAAAAGAATTTTTGAGTTAGAAAGTCTAAAATATCATAGCATAAAAGATATTTTGCAATAAGTGAAAAGGGGTCGGAAGAAAACGTGAACTATGAAAATCAGATGAGGTTACGTTAATTTCATTATGTGTATTGAGGGTTAATCAAATTTATTAAATTCTTTTACTTACTGTTTAATGAATTAAAAATTTCTACTCATTTTATTATTGGAAAATCATTATGTTATCCCATTTATTTATCAGTTCCAATTACTTCACTCGACGTGCATTTAATAAACAATATAATATTGTACGTATACACCGATTATTGTCATCGCAGAAATAACTGGTGAAACAAGGTAGCAACGGCAGTGAAAGCTCGAAAGTGCTGTGAGGATACGATGGCAAGTGCTGTTATTGCATCCACTCGTGCAACCTTTTTCAGTGTGGCAATTCTGTGTCCTCTCTTTCATATGCAATATTTTATATTTAACATGAGTTTCAAATGCGCGTGATCTTTTACGTTACGCGCGTCGAAAATTTTGTGATAATTGTGTTTTTCAACAAATGTGTTTAAAACAATGTGTTTAAGGTTTAAGGGGCTGCGCATAATCAAGAAAATAGAGAATAGGAACAAGGAATAATAGATTTCAACCTATTTCTGTGAAACCGTATTCCTGTGTAACCGATTTCTAGTAGGTTAAAATCTATTATTCTCTGTCCTATTTCTTTTGTCTTTGATTGTGCGCAGGTCCCAAAACGTAAGCAGTAAACAAATTGATTAATCACAGACATCACAGTAGGGACCTGTCATACGTAACGTAATGTTGTCCAATTTGAAACAATTTTCCAGACAATTTTTATTACTATTAATTGACCAGTTCTGTGTCAATTTTTGTTAAAAATAAATGTGTTAAATGTAACGCAAATGGTACATTTTGTGCGACATTTTGTATTTCACAAACACTAGTGTATCTTCATCTCTGCCCAATTCCGACTCCTGATGTCACATCTAATAGAATTTCAAAGAATCAAATTTGCTCATACAGTTAAAAAACTCATATTCCAAAAATATATGATTTTAATGAAGAAATTAAATAGTATGATATTTTGTGCCACCATATAATTATATAGTTATCGTAACTCGGTCTGATGATAGTCAAGACATGAAATCTATCGGATATTTCTCGTTTGTGACACGGAAAATAGAATACTGCATCCTTTCTTCCGTTCTTGACATGTAAGCAAAGATATATATAAATATGCTGCGTATACTATCAGGAATTTTTGTTCATCAGCAAAACTAACATACGGGCGAGTAACAAAGAGAATGGCTTTTTTTCTCAATGCGTTATCATGACGCCCGCGGTATATGATAGATTTGGCAAGAATCGTTTTTCACACAACACTGCGTTCACGCGTGACTGTTATGGAGTCTATCACGAAATTTCGTTGGCTCGTAACTTGTTGTTTGAAACGGGAACAGGCAGCAAATCTGTATGTGGGTACAGAGAGTATCATCGAAATCGTTTGACAGATGTTCAGTTTGTACATGGATGTGTACTATAGTTCCATGTACTATAGTACACCCATGATGGCTTGGTCAAACAGAAAAGTTTGCGGTAGTAAGTTAAATATTTAATTAACAGTTGATATTTGCACGATCGCGGTGATAATTATATATCAAAAAGAATTTTGTTAGTTTTGTTAGCTACTTTGTTAGTGTTGTTAGCTATTTTATTTTTCAGGAATAACTAAACGTAATGCAAAAATATTTTATATAAAATGTTTCATTAATTTTGCTCACGTTATGCAGAAGGAGATATTAGATATTGATATATTAGTATAGCTTTAGTTTTAGAAAAAACATTAAATAATAAGAAATATCCATAAGGCTAGACAACATTTTTATATATTATCGCTATAATTAAGTCTCAATTCTGTTCATATTAAAATCTTTTGAGATAGCTCGGAGATTTTATATTTAAATACTTTTTTACGTAATAATATTGGATTATATTTTCATATCAATAGTTATAATCACTTTATTAATTTCATATTAAATATAACTGTATCTATATATAACTGTTCTAAATATAACTGTAAGAATTTATATATTTCTTTTAAAGTAAACTCAAGTTCTTTAAAAGGTTATTCAGAATTTCGCAGTTTTTTTTAATTAACTTCTTTAAACGACTTTCGAGATTTCAGTTTCCTGATTAAAGACTATGTTGAAAGCCGTTTTATTTGAACGGAATTTTGCTTGAGAAGTATTCTATTTCAGGGCGGGAATAGGATATTCCTGCCCGAGCTCAAGAGCTCCAAAGTGTAACGCGAAAATCCAAGAGCGTATCATCCTAAGCGATGAATATCCATAATAAGCACCTTAATGGCCAAGACTATAACGACTATAACAATCATCGTAACCGTAACAGGCATAATAACCGTAATGATCGCGCGGGGACGATACGTCGATGTCACGTAAATTCCAAGGAGCAGAATGCTAAAGCAAAATTCGCATGGTCTCAGCTTTATCGTGAGACTGTGAAAGAACGGACCTTCCACAATTTTATATATGAAATCACTGTTTCATGAGGCGAATTTAATTCGATGAAAGGTAATTCGTCGAAAGCCAAGCAGAGTGACCGAGCAAGATTCATTAATACTTTCACCCAGTCCGTCGAGGAAAAGGCGCTCTGCTACAGCGTGTACTTATATCCGACCATGTGTAACACAGCCATACGGACTTCCCGATCGTGCTGCGGAAAGGTCAGGTTGATGGATGATGGCCAATTTTTCCCTCCAAGAGCCTTGACGACTGACCGACGTAAGTGAAAATAAATAGTCTCCGACGCGGGACATATCGTCTCGAGAATAGAGCGAGGCATTAAATTCCCCTATGCGATAGAGATCGGTCGAAACATTAAGCAATTATTAAGCAGCTATTCTTTTCATCTTGCCGAGTTTTCTCACGCCGAGAAATCTGGTCTATTCGTCTAATAATAATTTATCACTCGTTTTTCCACTCTATGAGATAATATCTCGAGTTAACTTGGTAATATTTTTTTTAAGAGTTCCGTTCCATTTATTTTTGCGATTTTTTTCTGCGTAATAATTAATATTAAGAGTAAACATCTTATGCAGTTTATAAATTAATAGTTCGAGTTGATAACTAAGTTAAACGACGTGAATTTTACAGGGAAACCATTAAAAGCGATTATATATTATTAATGAAATTTATCATACATAGCTAACTTCATTAATCTTCTTCAAGTTGTTAATAAATATTAAACGAAATGCTATATTAATTTTTATCAGTCCATTCAAGATAAAAGTGATTTTGTAATAAGCGTTAAATTGCGTTAGTTCTTATAATAAAATAGATTTTATAATATATTAATCAAATAAAATGATTGAAAAAGTGATTTTATGATGAATTTAGAATTCAGTGTCTGAATTGACGCTAAACGTTCTGTTGTTTCAGATATTGGCGATCGATGTACAATATGTATGTACATTCGTCGTCAGTATTAATCCATGTTTTTCTCGTAAAACAAACAGACCATCGTCAGTAGAGTCAATGGAAAGATGCCCGAAGAAAAAGCGTAGCTCGATTCTTCCGTGCTCGAACAAATACCCTCGCTGATTTACATTTTAATGGATCTAAATTGAAATCTAGTAGGAGAGGGGGGAAAAGTACCGAGATAAATTGCGCCGCTAGTGGTTATATAGCGTGTCCGTTTAAAGCTCTATTTATTTTTTTTATCACTTATTGCAGTGCACGGATGTCGCGTCAGCGCGACAACGCGCTTCTCGCAGTGCGTCTCGACTGACGTAGTGCCACCCTTTCCGCTTCCACTCGCGCCGTCGAGGCGGCTGTAAATTACTAATTATTCTGAGACGGCTTCCAATTTTAACTGCAGCAGGCCGACGTGTCCGCTTTTTACTCGTTCGAGAGTCACATTGCGCGTTTTGCACTCGCGTAACGTTTTCATTCTGCTCGCAATAAGCCTGCAGACGAAGCAAATTTTAAAAACGAATTTCACTTCTCGTACTGCAATTAAAAGTGACATTCTACACTTGTGTATCTCGCGATAAACCCTTCATAAACCTTTCATTCACCATTAAATCGATTATTCATGAAAATGATTTCTTTCTCTTGGAACTATAATCTAACATCGAACATGACATAATTTATTGATTCTTATTTGCATTATCGATCCTAAAGAATTCATGTCCTTTTCCAATTTAATATTTAACGTCAATCTAAAGAGTTCTATTTAACTTGCCGATATATTCTGTCTTAATAATTTTTAATAAATTTCAATTTTATTTCATTTGATAAATTACTATTAATGTACTATTTAAGAAAATTAGAATATATTTTTTAAACTTCATCCGCAGTAACTATTCATAATATCGATCAAATTTATCATATCGCTTCACGGTTTTATATAGCGTGTGTGTGTGTTAGCAGAATGAAATAAATTATTATATTCAGGATAATAATGAGATAAATTTGTCACAAAATAATACCGCGAACACTATTCGTTATGTTGAACGTTATGTTGAACTATTTTACATTTGTAATCACGGAGGATTACCGAACGGCAATTCTGACCAACCATTGGCACAGATTTTTCTTTTTAGTGGTAATTTACGAGAGGTTCGAATATATTCCAGGAGTAAAGTTATCGATCTAGAATCTTCGTGGGAGCGCCAACTCCTTCGGCGTAGTTTCCTCGACAGAGACTGAAGACAACGAGAGCCGCAGGTGGCTGAGACGATGAAGATCGCGAGAATTAGTCTTACAAGCAACGCGCCTGATGCAATTTCGCGACTCTTACGTCTACTCTGGATTACTTCGTGGCTTATGATGGACGGAAAGTCGATTGTTAATCGCATTTAATCTTGGGTACCTACCAGTGATGTGATAAGGTAGCTGTGATAGTCACTCATCATTCCAATCTGTTGCGCTTGTTTCAGCACATCGTAGATCCTCTCGGTAGAACAATCCAATACGATATGCGACTCCGCGGAATTTTTTATTTGTTTTAGCAGCGGCCTGAAATAAAACAATGTTCTGTGTAAAATATATTCTTAAATTTATATTATATATAAAATTAAAATATCGAACATTGATAAAAGCGATGAATAAAAAATTTTAAACTATATCAAAAAGTTTATCTCATGCAGGAACATCTCATTCTTTATTTAAAATTCTTTTTAGTTTGAAAAATTGTAGATATCTAAAACGGGCTGAAATGAGAATGAATTTTCAATATTTTCCAATAATATAATCTGAAAATGTTTGGAGAATATTGCAAATAAGTATATTCTTATTCTTAATACATTCTGAAAATATTTTAGTGTACTATTAACAAGAGTATATTCTCAATATATTCCTAGCATATTCTAACAGTAAATTTTCAGTATATCCTCAGCATACTTCCCAACATAATATCATAATGAAAGGCTCAAAACTGAATTCTGTCGATTTCAATGAAATCTGATAGAATTACAAAGTAAGTCTGTTTTCTGTGACTGAACTAGTGTACACTTTTAGAACTTAAAGTGAGATAGATATACGTCTGATATTTGTCGAAAGCGAGGAAAAGAGTTCTAGAGCAGTCTAGAACAGAAAACAGATCAAGTGAGTACTCTCAAATATAATGATACCCCTATTTGAATGTAAACAATCAATCGTTTGCGAAATATTTTTAAGGTAATTAAGTTAAGTTTAGTGATGCTGTTAGTAGAATTTATTAGACGTTTACTCGAATATTTATGATATAGTGGATATTGTTTATTAAAACCTTTAGCCTTAAATTTGTGAAAGTTCCTTTGTTAAATGGGAATTAATCAGGAGAATTGTTCTAGAATAGTAGATCTAATTCGTAATAAATCTAATTCGTAATAAAAATCTATAATAAAATTAATTAATTTATTATTATTATATTAAAAAATGTGTCACATCTCAAAGCATTATCAAAAATATAAAAATTTCATAGGTTATTCTATTATTACATCTGAATATCTGTGTAAATTTAAGCACAGTTTTTTTATTGATTTAAAAATTATTTGACTTTTTGTTTGCATTGATTTTTATGTAAAATCGTGTTTTTACAGTTTTTAGTATAGTACTTATTTGCAAATTTAATGAAGAAGTAGCGTTATAAATTAAATTAAATTTTTTTATATATTAATAAAACTTCAATAAATATTTGTGCAAAAATTTATTTAGATTCACTTATTCGTTTAAAAATCATTTATCTAAAACTCGTAAAGATAAAAATCAATGAGCTGTATAGGCCATTATAAACCAAATTATTGTTTTTCTTTTGGAGTTGGTTTCAAGATGTATTTATTAAAAATTTTTGTCTGATATTGGCTAATAACGGCTTAAAAAAGTATTTTTCATTTATTTTGGATACACTCTTTAAGTCGCTCTATATACACTCTATATGTATATATGTATATTCTAATAATATTGACTTTTTTGACTGATACTTTTAGTTGATTGTACACCTCAAACACTTTTAATAATTATTTTTCTATCTTAAAATATTATTATACAATAAAAAAAGTTAATTGGTGATAGAGCTTAAAGTCGAATCAAATTAAAAACTAGTTACCATGTTTATTAGCCACAGATGTGTTCAAATATATATGTCCTAATACAATTGAAACAAATAGCAAAAAGATTAAAGAGGTCAATGGAAATTTTTAATTAAAATTGCCTAATGTAGTCTGTCGATTTAGTTTAGATGTCGATGTAATTGATAGAAGAAAGACAAATATCAAGTACATATCTAATAATATGAAACTTGATCTTTCTGTAGATCTGTTCGCGCGAAAACTCATTCGCTCACTCGCTCTCACGATGCTCTTCGGGGACGGAACGGTTCGGATTCCGGACATGCTTTTCGTCGTGTACCACTGATAAAAATTTCATACTACTGCCGGTTGCTCTCCGGCCTCTCGGAGGCTACCCTTCGGTTTCTCTCTCTCTCTCTCTCTCTCTCTCTCTCTCTCTCTCACTCTCTCACTTCCCGTCATTCAACATGCACGATAATGCGAATCTCCTTATGCAACCCGTGGAAGTCAGGACTCGGGCTCGCCATGGGAATTTTTCATGCTCTATGCATAATTTAACGAAAGTGCCCTTTATGCCTGCGTTGCTCTCGTAACCGTATCGTCCTGTGAATTTCATTTTTGTGACGGCCCCGCCGTCGGCAACGACGATTGCATCTCTTTCTGCGTCTGCGAATTTATCGAACGATAGAGAAGAGTGAGTGTTGACTGAAATAGGAGTTATGGTAATTTTGAATAAACAATTGTAACCTTCTTTGGGATTAAATGCATTAATTTTCTCACTATTTTATTGTTATATTAATTTTATTACGTTAAAAAGCTAAGCTTATAAACAGCATCATTATTTCATTTCTTCTATTTATCATATTTTTGTAAAATATTTCATATCTCTCATACTTCAATATAAAGCTATTATATTATTACTATTATTATTATTATTATTATTATTATTATTATAGTCAAATATATTTCAAGTGTTACATATTGATCAGCATTATATTAAAAAAACTGTTCCTCAAATAGTTATTGAATTGTAATATTAATCTTTAATGTATTAGGTGTTGGAATTAATTCGTAGCGTTTTACAAGTGATGGGAAGTACTTTCATTAATGTATTTTTTAATGCTCATGTGAAATAAATAACATTCTTTCATTAAAAAACGCTACGAATTAATTCCAACACCTAATAGTTTATATAATATATGTATGTATATACATGTAAAGAAAAGGCTCCTATTATGAGATACCGAGTTCATTTTTTAAATGCTAGAAATCTATATACAGAATTTAAAAAAATATTAGTAGGTCATTTTGAAGAGAATTTAATAAGCTTTAAGGTAACATTATATAAAATTTAATTCAAATTTCATTTTTTTTTAAATTAAAGAAATATGAAAAGTGAGCAAATCGCAAGTGAAAAAATTGTGCTCCTAATCGAGATGCCTCGAGAAATCGATAATAAAACACAAAGTATATCAGTACAATTAAAAAACTTTATTTAATCTTTCTAAACTACAAACAAACACGCGAAAAATGAGCATGCGATAGATTATACCCAAAACTCGTCTTTGGATAGTTAGAATTAAGCATCGCAGAAATAGACACTCGACTTAGTCCAGATGTCTTTTTTATTATTGTACAATAACATTTAGTTTAGCAACAATTTTCACTATAACATAGGAGCATGGGTTATTTCATATTATAAATACTCTGGGTATCTCATGATTTCCACTTTATGATTTTACGCTAACTTCTATAATTAAACAATTCAACATATCCTGTACTTTTTTATTAGTACAACTTTACTCTATTACTACATGAAGAGTTTATTGCCAAATAATTATTTTTATTAAATAATAAACAAGGTTTAAAGACTCATTTCAATGAAACTTGAAGACGTCCAAATTCTAAAATCTTGTTTTACAATGACTACAGGCATGATATAATAACGAATTTTCTACTAAATAGTTTTCAATCCAAGAGCAATAAATTCAGTGGAACTAGTAAATAGCGTTTATTAGTTTAATAGAAACGCCACTATCTCATATTAGGCGCTTATCTCATAATAGGGGGATTTCTTCTATATGTCTCAATATATGTTGACTTGAATGGCATTACGCCATGCTATTTTTTCGTAGTGGTAGTTTGCTATAGTAATAAGTGTTCAACAGCGTCACGTATTTCGTACAATATATCCTATCTTTGGATATTACAGAGAAATAACCGTGAACCGTCTTGAAATATTGTAGCATTTTGGCAATTTCTCGATGCCGATCTCGCATTTTGTCACCTCTCAGTCCTTTAAGGCTTACCGTATTTTCATCGTATTGGCTGATAACCTGACGCTTATCCGAAATTACTCTAAGAAGCAAAATTTCTTGAAAAATTTTCTGTGACTCTGTCCATATGAAATTTAAACGTATATTTGATCAATCATGATTGTGAACCATGTTTGTTTAAAAATTTGCGCATATTTTGTGGCACTATATTTAATAATTTTTTGAAAATGTGATTTATGAGAGTTTAAATATTTAAAAGTAATTTTTTTTGTAACACATGTACACATATTTGCATATGTTTCCTATTTTATCTTATAATATTACGCGCACGTGTAAACATAGAAATTAATGTGGTTTTATAATTTAGCCAATTCTTTAAATATAAAACTTTATTCATTTTATTTTTTTTTGTTATCATCACTAATAAGAATAACGTTTTATTTTATCGAAAAAATATGAATAGTCTCTGGAAATAATGTACTTAGTTTGACAACGTCGTTCGCTCTAATGAATCATACCATTTGCATTATTTATCGTTATTAACGCACGATTGACGATTAATACGATAATTACGAATATGACATTATTTGCTATTAATGTTATCATTACTATGTAATTGCGTAATGATTGTCACTCTAAATTAGTTATCCCGTCACGTTTATACCGATTCTAAGCTATGCGCGTTTTCTCTCTCAATTACGTTGATGGCTATAGACATTGCAGCAATCACGTTGTGTTAACCCGGATAACCCGAGGTAGACATTCATCCGATACCAAGTGTTAATGTGTATTATATATGCGCGCAGAATAATTATTTGCCAATTAATTCCACAAAGTTTGCATGTTGTGAGTATATATTATAAAATTTTTATAATTGACGTCAACTTTCCATCGCATTTATTTTAGAAAACTTGATATTATAGCACATATATATAAGACATGAGATTCTTATATCGAAAATAATGAGGTAACGTTCTAACTTTTCAAGCACAAATTTTTGCGAATATAAAACAACATATAGATTTTGATATAAATGTCGTGGATACAAATTGAAGAGTGAAAAAGAAATGTATTGAAATTTCATAATCTCATCATTAATTGTCACTTATCAAACATAGTTTAAGTCTAAAGCAACAATTTATAAAATTATATTATATATTAATCGTTTTTAATTGTAATATTGTTTTCAATC